ACACCGCTGGCTTGGGAGGGGCCGAGGCACTCTGCCTCCAAGAATTGTTCCTCATCTTCTTTGTGGCACCGCCCACCAAGGCAGCAGCACAGGCCTGCTTTGCTCCCCAGACCCCTGCTGCAGAGCTGGTGGGGCGCTGAGGGCTTGGACAACTTTACACCCTGTGGCAGCTGACGGCCCCTGTGCTACTGAAGGGGGAGAGGCTGGCAGGGTGCTTTCAAACACGTGTTATCTTATTACAAACATGCACCTCAGGGCTGTTGCTGTGGCACAGTAGGTAAAGCTGCTGCCTCTGACGCCAGGATCCCATGTGGGCGCTGGTTCACATCCCAGTTGCTCCACTTCTGATCCAGCTCCCTGCTATGGCCTGGGGAAGCAGTGTAAGATGTCCCAAGTGCTTGGGCCCCTGCACCCACGTGGGAGACTCAGATGAAGCTCCTGGCTCCATCCTGGCCCAGCCTTGGCTGTTGTGGCCATTTGGGGAGTGAATCAGCCAATGGAAGATCTATTTCTTTCTCTCTCTCTCTCCCCTTATTCTTTCAAAATAAATAAAATCTTTAAAACAAAATTAAAAAGAGAAACATGAGCCTCTTGTACGTGGCACAGGGACAACGTTCTGGGCCCGGCCCTTGGTGGGAGGAGGTGCCAAGTGCTAGAATGGGGTCTTCCCTGTCGTGGGCCATAATACGAAGATAGCATCTGCTCTGTGGCAGCACCCAAAGGGAAAACGTCACCAAAGGCCCAGCCTGGAGGACCTTTCGGCCGGAAAGTGCATGCAGACAATGAAGCGTCTGCCCCGGGGGAGAGGAGGAAAGGAAGCGGGGAGTTTCCCAGTCTGGCTTCTTGCAGCCCTGTGCATAAAGCGGGGAGTCCCCTGGCAGCCAGGGCACAGGAGTGCCAGGGCCCTGGGCACCAGGCAGGTTAAGCAACATCTCAAGAGAGTTGCTCTTGGATGGAGGCCCAGACAACAGCACAGGGAAAAGAGGAAGGGAAATGAGGGGGAGTGGAGGGGAGAGACGCCGCTGAGCACCGACAATGAGAGAGGAGGCAGAGCAAGAAAGGAGAGAGAAAGGGGAAACAGAGGCTGGGGAGGGAGAGCTGCGGCGGACATCCGAGTGGCTGGTGCCCCTGTCGCCATCCTCATCATCATCAAGGACTAATCACTCGGGACAGTCACGTGCCAGGATCTGGGGTACAGGGCGCCAGTTCTCACACCCTACTTGGGAAGACAGCAGCCTATGTCTTGTCGATGGAGAGGACGCCAGCGCGGGATCCGGGGATGAAGAGGGATCGCAATGGCCTGGGACGCTGGAGGTGCCCAGAGAGGAGTTGGACTGTGATACTGGGTGGCATCTGAGCAGCGAGGAGGGACCCAGAGAACTGTCCAGACTGGCAGGGACAAAGCGAGGCCGAAAGAACACAGGCCCTGCATTCAGGGCACCGGGAGGAGCACTTTATTGGTCTTTCCCATCACACGTATTCTAGGACCCTTCCGCGCACATCACCTTGGGAAGGGGCTTGGTTGTCCTTTGGGAGCCCAGCAAAGCCTGGAACGGATGCCCAGTACTGGGCCCCATGATGCTGAATGAACCCGCCGCGTTGAGCAGGTCAGTGCTGGGCCTGCAGGCTCTGTGGGAAGAGCGCCACGCAGCCCCTGCCTTCAGGGACAGAGGGCTTTTCCTTCCACCAAATGTGCAGTGAGGAGACGAAGGGATGACCCGTGGCAGGGAAGTCTGCCCTCACGTGAGAGGCGGCAGGCTCTGGGCAGCAAGGACAAGTCCAAGGACAACGGGATCTGCCCTTGTTCAGGTGCTCCATCAGGCAGTGACCCTGCAGCCCCTCTCTCAGAACTGGCTCCCCGCTGGGGTCCTGCAGCCAGCTCAGCACACCCCTTCAACGGCACAGAAGCTCGTCTACAGCTGAGCTCCAGTTCTGAATCAGAAGCCAAAGAAACTGGGGCCAGCACTAGGCACGCAGTGGGTAAAGTCACTGCCCGTGATGCCAGCACCCCCCAAGGGCACCGGGTCATGTCCCAGCTGCTCCACTTCTGATCCAGCTCCCTGCTAATGGCCTGGGAAAAGCACTGGAAGACGATCCAAGTGCTTGGGCCCCTGAATCCTCCTGGGAGACCCATAAGACACTCCTGGCTCCTGGCTTTGGATAGGCCCAGCTCTGGCCATTACAGCCATTTAGAGAGTGAACAAGCAGATGGAAGGTCTCTCTAACTCCACCTTTCGAATAAATAAATAAATCTTAAAGAAATAAAGAAAATATGTTTCTATAAAGCTGGGAGGCAGACGGACTGATTAAGTACCTCACTTCCTCCACACCGTGCAGACCACCCTTGGACAGAGGAGTTGCCAGGCAACTGAACAGCATCTGAAACTCTCCAAGTCACACTGTCTCAAAGTGACCTTGGATATACAGCACCTGTTCTTTTGAGCTCTCCAGAAAGTTTAATCTCGATGGCCTCTCCTTCATCCATCTTTTGTCAAAATTTTTTTGTTTATTTATTTTCATTTTACTTGAAAGGCACAAAGAGAAACAGGGAGTCAGGGGGTTGGGGGGTGAAAGCTTCCATTTGCTGGCTCACTCCCCAAATGCTTGCAAACAGCCAGGGCTGGGCCAGGCGCCAAGAACCCAACCTGGGTCTCCCACATGGGCGTCAGGGACCCAAGTACTTGAGACCTGTTCCCTGCTGCCTCCCACAATGCATAGTAGCAAGACGCTAGGTTGGGAGCAGAGCTGGGACTTGAACCAAGCACCCCAACACGGGATGTGCTCATTCCAAGCAGCATCATGATGGCCAAGCCAGAGGCTCGGCCCTCCTTCGTCTGCACTGTCAAGGGCATCTGGTGCAGTCAGCTGTTCACCGGTACACTGCTCTGACACAGTCACGTCCCTGGCTCAGCAACACTTCTGTGAGAGCGTCCACCCCTTACAGCACGGGACGGGCCTTGGGAACCAAAAACTCCGGACTGCACACCTAACATTTTCGATGTCCACTGAGTCCTGTTTCTTCTTTTCTTCCCTTATGCTTTTCTCAACAATTATTTGATACCTACTACATGCCAGGGTCAGCTGCTGGGTCTACAAGAGCAAACAAGACAAAGTCCCCCTTAGAAAGTACACTCTGAGGAAACGAGGTCAGATACAGAGCAGAGCTGGAAAGTAAGTAAACTCCGCGGGGTGGGGCGTGGGGAGGCCCCGGAAGAGCTCCAGGAGGAGCCAGAAGGAAAAGCCCTCCAGTGGAGGGAGCAGACGCAAAGGCGCCCAGGTGGTGAACATCTAGAGATCTGAGGGGAGGCCGGTGTGGTCCAACGTGAACGGAGCGGAGAGGGTGCGCGGAGCGGCTGGAGCACCTAGGGCACTGCGTGCCGTGGGAAGGAGCTGAAACGTCAATCAAGTGGGATGAGAAACCGCTGGAGGGCAGGAGCTGAGCCATCGCAAGGTACAGAACTAGTGAGGACATGTATAGGAAGGTCACTACAGACAGGATGGCCAGAGAGTGTCCAGGAAGGGCCCTCAGGGACCAGGGAGGTACGGGAGGCCAGTCTTCTGGTCACCCTGGGGGCCAAACACGAATGAGCCGGGTGATCCTTACCATCTCCTCCACCTTAGCTGCCGGGCAGTGGAGCCCCTGAACAGCACCCTGGCCGTGCCACAGTCGGAGACAGACCCACACCCCTGAGACAGCTACGCTAAGTTCTTCCCTACACTGAGCGAAAACTGGCTCCCTCGTGGCTTTCACTCAGCTGCCTCCACATGCCCTGGGCTGCACCCCCAGCTATGCCACCCCAAGATCTCTCATCGCAGGCAGGTGCATACCACTTCCATCAGCCACTGATTTGACTGTTCTGTTATTACAGAAAATTTCAAATGTTCACAGAAGCCAGGAGAATACAAAGGGTCTCTAAACAAAGTGCATGTTATGAAAAAAATCTATGCACCCATTTCAAAATGCTTTGCACCAAATAAACTTATCTACTGACCCCACGTTCCCAGGAACTCCCTGAAGTCCCCTTGCAGCACCACACCTCTGCTCACCCGTGAGCAGTTTCAACAACGATCAACTCAGGACCAGCTCTGCTGCCACCCGGCCTTTTGATTTCCTTCACCAACCCGGGCATCTGTGTGTCTTACAGGTGAGGTGACCAGCTCGCAGTACCGGCAGCTCATTCACTTGAGACATCACAACGTGTAGTAACACAGCCTAACAGAGCCAACACACACGTGGCGGCCAGCCTGTCGCTCCACCCGACGAAATCCACAGACTCAAACTTTCCACCAGAAACTCTCCGGTTGGGTTTTTGGATCTGGGCATGGGATTCGTCTGCCCCCAGCGAGTCCCCCTCAGAGCCCATTCCTTGTGCCATCACCTCCTGGTGGACCCTCACTCTCACATATTCACCACTCCCTAGATCCTCTAACACCTTTACAAATTTTGACAAAGGAGTAACAGGAATATGAATAGGAGTGAATGAGGGAAAGAGGTTAGGGTTGGGAAGGATCAGAGAAAACACTGTCTAATTCTGTATTTTACAGATGAGAAAACCAAGATCCTTATAGAGACAGAGACAACATCTGACTCAAAGGCCCGGATGGCAATGAGCCAAGAGCCTGGGCCTCCTGCTCCCCGCTCTCTGCCATACCCACGAGCCCTCCGAGTTCCTGAGAGGAGGTGCCCTCTAAGGGAAACGCAGGCCATCGCCGGCCAGGCCAGGGTCTGTGAGCCACTGCAAACCAGCTAAAAGTCAACCACCAGCAACAACCCTCTTATGTGGCAAACTCCTACTAGGTGACAACCCCCCCACCAACACACACACATACCCGCCAGGCCTCTCTGCCCTCTATTACTTTCCAATGTCTCCCACCTGCTGCGTTAGGTTTGAAAGCACTTTTCTCTGCTCTTACTTGGTCAATGGTCTGGTACACAGGTGTTATTAGTTGAATTAGTTAGGCACGTCAAAAACATTCACAAGTAATACAGGATTCACCTATATTAGAAATGATAGTCTGTTATTTAGAAAGCTAAACAACATTTCATTTAGAGAAGATGCTTAACCAAACAGACTTCTTAAAAAATTCACCACTCCAGAATGCTTTTTACAATTGTCCCCATTCAAGAAACACAGAATAAAATGGATAATTGAAGACATAACTTCACAAAACACTCTGGACAATACACAAGGACCACGACGTTTTCGGGTTTGTCTCTGTGGCTAACCAACCACGCACCGGAGGCAGGGCCCAAGTTCAGATGTGCACAGCCCGGGGAGCCTCATGGCGGGCGGCCGCGCCCTCAGCATCTCCTTGCCCTCAGGAAGAGACACGGGGAGGGGAGGCCTGGGAGCTTCAGCAAGACGCACACGAGCCTGCTCCACGCCCAGCCTGCTGACGTCGTCAACTGTCAAACCACTTGCTCCTCTTGGCCAGGGGTGCCCCACTGGAAGGCCCCAGGAGTTTCTGTTTATACTGTTCGACCAGCCGGTTGAAGTGGATTTCTGCCTTGTTTCCCTTAGCTTTCTTCTTAGGAACCTACAAATAAAAAGGAAACACGAGATAATCCACTTCAAACACTGAATACCACCTTCTCGCAGACCACCTGGGAGAGAACAGAAGCAGGCACAGATACCAAGGTCCACAAGAAAGACGCAAATTTCCAGTGAGCGCGTAGAGATGCAAGTCCAAGAGGCACCGTCCACTGGCAAGAAACTGGGCCACAGCTGTGTGAGTACAGGGCCAACCAGAGTGTTATCTGGCGCTCGGAGGCCTCTCTCACTCCAGCTACCAAAAGTTCACTTTAATGTCGATCCGGATGAGTCAGCCTCGGGTTTAAGCATCCTTGCTTCTTTACCAAGAACACTACCCATGGGATTTCAGAGATAGGTTTCCTATAATAGTGCAGGGTTACAGATTTGCCAGAGACAGATTTCTTGAGTAGGATGGGAACCAAATGCTTCTTTTTACCTTAAGGGAGACAGGAAAGAGGAGAAGAAAGTCTGACCTTACCTGCTCAAGAAGCTGCATGCAATTTTCTACTGAAAGGAAGTAGAGTTCCTTGGGAAAATGCCTAACGCCAGGACTAGAAAAGAAATCTACAGACGAGTCTGGACATCCTGTCGTGTGAGGCGTCTTTAAAGGTTCATGGAAAATGTTACTATGAAAAACCAGGTGTGGATTTCAGAAACAAGCAAGGACACTGCCGAAGACAAGAGCATGTCAGAAGTCTCAGGAACCGCCCTGCCGGGGCTTCAGCTGCCAACACACGGCAAGGAAACGACGGCCTTCGACCGGAACGAGTCAACCCAGTACCCGCAAACTCAGGAGGTCACAGTACTAGAAACCTTGGTCACCAAGGAAGTAGACAACCATAGCTATTCCACCTGCAGCTCCAACATCCCACTGGGCACTGGTTCATGTCCCACCTGCTCCTCTTCTAATCCAGCTCTCTGCTATGGCATGGGAAAGCAGAAGATGGCCCAAGGCTTGGGCCCCTGCACCCACGTGGGAGACCTGGAAGAAGCTCCTGGCTCCTGGCTTCTGATCAGCTCAGCTCTGGCCATTGTGGCCATCTGGGGAGTGAACCAGAGGATGGAAGACCTCTGTCTCTCCTTCTCTCTGTCTGTAACTCTGCCTCTCAAATAAATTTTTAAAAAATCATAGAAAATCACCATTCTATAGTAATGATATAATGAATTTGTATAACACTCATCGATGGATGCTAAAGCCACTAGGTGGAAGATTGATGGGGGAAACCTTTGTAAGTGGAGGACTAAGACAGATGGTCCCTAAGCCCTAGGATCAGGCCAAATGGGCAACCAGGTATGACAGATATGACATGCCATACGTGATGGACGGAAACAAGGAACTACCTATGAAACACTCTTGGCAAGAAAACTGAACTTGATCAAGTCTTTCGACTCAATACCGATTGACAGGCACATGAGATATCACAGAAGAAACAAGGCAAATGGCAGCACAAGGAGGCTGGCAGCTCCATCGGAATGGAATGCATTCTAAAGGCAACTGGCCTGGTTTCTCCAGCAAATTAACAGCATGGAAAAAAGGGCGGTGGTGGCAGGAACAAGTGGCTAGACTCTAGACGGAAAAAGCAGTGCAGAATCCTAAAAAACGAATATAATGTGTGGACTCTGTTGGGGACCTGACTGGCAGTAACCAAGCATAAAAGATGCTTTTGAGGCAACTGAGGCAATTCTAAGATGGCTGTGAACTAGATGATATTAATGGCTTCTTATTCATTTCAGCAGACATGAGAATGGCATGCTGAGTGTGCTACAGCCTGGTCAGTCAGAGGCGCACTCTGAGGTTTCCCTGAGCGACCGATCTCCTGCCACAGGAGGCGCACTTACATGTGAAGTGGGGCTTGCTTCCTTATACCCTGGTGGGGGAAGCACGCTCGGGGACTAGGTGACTGTCACAGCGGGGTGACAGATGGCAGTTTGATCTGCTTTTCTCTTCACTTTCCCAAGGCTTTTCATTTTGCTCAACTAGCCAAGGTAGGACAGTGGCTGCCAGCCCAGGGACTTCGTCATCGCAAAGATGGATGCCCGGCACAACTCACCTGCTTAGAAGAAAACTGCTGCTTCTCTTGCTTCAGCTGGTTTACCTGGGGCCTGGGCTTCTTGGGAGGGAGGGACTTCACCTTGCCTTTGTCCCGTAACCTGAAATAAGATGGCGAGTGTCAGCCTGCGTCCTTTCTCCACACAGCACCCGTAAGTTGTCTCAGGCCAAGGAAAATGCCCTTCTACACACTGGCGCTCTCTGAGCCCGTGAGAGGTTAAGTCATGCCAGACTGTGCTATGGCTCAACCTTTGTAGGATTATTGTTTTTGCTTTTTATGTTTGCTTAAGACCTCATGAGAACCTCAAAGACCTTCATTAATTTAACAAATATTTTGTAAAAATTGACTATTTTACATAGCACTGACCTGTTGCCCCAAACAGAAACTACATGAACGTCAAGTATGTGGCCTCAGCTGACAGAGGAAGACAGGAGACAAATGGCACAAAAGCCGGCCCCGGAAGCCTGCTCCGGGATCCCCTCTGCCAGTGACCTTTGGCCCAAGGGCGCCACCTCCCCGTTGCAGGACTGTGTATGTATTCCCCTTCCTTATGGGTCTGGCACAGCACTCAGCATCACTTTCACCCAGCAAATGCCGCAAGGAGGAAGAGAGCTAAGCAAAGACAGACCTGCAGCTCACCTGATCTTGGGGCCTCGGTGTGAAGGGAGCGCCAGGACCTTTCTTCTCTTCTTCCCATCGGGCAGCTCCACCTGCTCCACTTCCTCCTTGGTCTGGAAGCCCATCCAGTTAGTAGAGCCTGCCTTCCCCTTCTGCTTGGAGGGTGGCTTGCTGTGTTCCACGGCGCGACTTTGAGCTCCCTTCTGCTGCTGCTTGCCTTTTGCAGGCTTTGGTGGCTCCTTCTGGGGTTCGTTGGTTGAAGGCTTGGATTTCACTTTTTGCTGCAGAAAGCAAGAAACAAGCCACCTGGTTTCAGGACGAGGTGTGTTTGTGGAAAATACTCAACCGAGGAGGAGCTTGATGGGAGCCTGGTCAAAGAAGGGGGCTTTGTCCTCCACACGTTGCAGACCACAGCGGAGTGAAGCCAAGTGACTCACAGGATCACAGCACAGTAACAGGCAGCTACTGAGTGGGGGCACAACACAGCCACTTCCCTCCCTTAACACACAACGAGGGGAGGGGGTGCTCACCCCAGACTCAAAAGCCAGCAGCAGGGGACAATTACACATGGTATAACATACATGGAAGGGGAATACCATAAGAAGAAAGAAAGAAGCTAGAGAATTTGAACTAAAATCCTTAACAAAAGGAATTTTTCAAAATCAGACATTAACCCACAGATCCAGGAGCTCAGGGAATATATCACAGTGATAACCCCTACCCAATGCTACACCTATCAGTCACACTGGAGAAAATCAAAGGTAAAATCATAGAAGAAGCCAAGGTGGGAAAAATCTTATTTATAGATGAGTAAGGACAAGATTCCGTACAATTTCTCTTCAGAAACTGTGAAATCAAGAAGAGTGTGGAGAGGGATATTTAAGTTTTGAAGGAAAAACAAAATCATCAACCTAGACTTCTATTTCCAATGAACTAATCCTTCAAAAGGTGCAGGAGAAATACAGACTTTCTCAGACAAACAAAAACTGAGGTAGTCTCACCAGTATACCCACCTCGCAAGAAACACTACACACATTTCTTCAGAGAGAAGAAAATGACATGGCAGAAACTCGGACGGACATAAACAAAAGAGCATGCGAGACGGAACAAATGAAGATGACAGGGAAATGGTGCTGTGGGAAGACACAAAGAATGTTCCAGATTTATCTGCACTGAGGTAGAAGGAAAAGAAGATTCAAGTGAAATTAATGTAACAAGTGCATCATTTTGCCCTTTCATCGTCAAAATCCAGACAGGTTCACCGACACAAGCCACACCGAGTATCCGCCCACTGCATGCCTGTCTGTTGATGAGTGGTGACAACACAAAAGCAGAGAACAGAGTGTTTCCCTCTTGGGACTTACTGCCTCCTGGAGATGTGAGACACACCTGCAAAGCACAGTAGAAACCAAGATGGTTTGAGGGAATTCCTAAGAATCCAAGTGACAAGGGCTTATCCCTTTCAAGGGGAGAGGGAGAAGGACTTGAGGAAGGGTCATCTGAATATGGAAAGTGAGTCAGAGAGGACAATCCACAGAACAGCACCTGCATGTAAGAGTAGTGGAGGCAACAAGTGACGCAATCTGGATGGTTAAGAAGGCTGCGGCTTCAGAACCCCCTCAAAGCCATGGCTGTGGGCAGTAACGATTCCATTATCTGGAACAAAGCTGCCTCGAACAACAGCCAGATCCCAGGGCCTCCCAGCCAGATCCCAAGGCTTCCCACCCAGAACCACTGTCTTAGCCACTGGAATCACTCACCTCTTGGCCATGCTCTAGGCACACACCAAGACTACAAACAGCTGCTATTTGTGCAAGCTGAGGTGTCGTACTGATGAGAGCTGAGAGAGTTATGGAATCTAGAGTAATCTGGCCTGTGTGTCCTGGAGGATGATGCATAAGAAAATGAGTATTGGACTGTGGTGTTGCCACGCGCTATGCGAGGCAGTGACAAGTGGTATCTCATTCAATCCTCATCAACCATGGCACGCGAAGATCTTTCACCCATTTACATACTGAAGTTCAGAGAGGTAACAATGTGCCAAGAGACGAGCAGAGCCAGAGTCCGAACGTGAGCGTGCCTTTGCTCTGCCCTCTGTACCGCAGTAGATTCAAAACAGGACCAGACCATCAGGCACCACAAGAGATGAAAGGAGAATCAAAGAGAGGACAGCTGGCAACTACAGGTACTGTCAAACCTCAGGCTGGCCACTAAGCGTGACACTCATCATCACCAAACGCTGCACAAGAACCGCCCAGAGCAGTAACGGGGGTCTGCTTCTCCTCCCCGTCCTTCCCTTCTCTCGTGGCACTGTCACAAGTGGGCCACCAAAGGAGAGACAGCCTGGAGCGTATCAGGAAGAGGGTAACAAAAAACCAGCTTTCCTGGCGCGGAATCACAAACTGAACAAAACAGAAGTTGCAGTGTATCCTTCGGAAGAAGAGGGGCGTTGAAAGCTCCGTACCAGGCTGCGCTGCATCCTTAGTTCCTTCACTTTAAGCTTCCTCCGATCCTCCAAGGAGAACTCCACTATCGGTCTCTGCAGCGGGGGGAGACAGGACATCATTCATTAGACTCCTGAAGCTCTGAGGCCAGCGAGCTGAGCGGTCCCCCACCGCCACTCCTTTCTCTTCTTCTGCAACGCTCACCTCTTGAAGGGAAGGGCCACTTTCGCAAGCAGTCTCTCTAAAATAGTTCCCTCTCATCCCCTTATCACCTGGACCCACCGCTCACCCCCCTTCCCATCCACCCTTGCCACTCTTCCCGCCATTCAAATGCAGAGGGCACGGCATGAAGGCGAGTGGCCCCAGGAACGGATCCCCCCAGGGGCGAGGCTCACCTTCTGAGGCCCGAAGATGTCGGGGTTGTTGTTGATGTGGCGGAGGGCTCCCAGCGCATGCTCATGCTCTTGGAACTCCACAAAGGCGTAGCCCAGGGACTGGCCCTTCACTGCCCCGTGGGCGCCTTTCAGGTCTCGCATCACCCTGCACTACGAGTAGAATAAGAAAACAGTCAGTCTTCAGAGTAAGAAGTCTTGCCTGGCATGAGCTGCTGTAACAGATTCTGTAAGAAATCAGGTGACGGAAAAACAGACTTCAATTATATTGTACCAGAGTAACACTTAGGAGTGCCCATCTTATTAGAGTACACCTACCCCGAACAGTTTACAGACATCGATGCACATCTACAAATAAGCATACAATAAAATAAAACCTCCCAAGGAAAACTTGGAAGAGCCACCTGTTCACAAGACATACAGTTGGGAGGTGTGTGCTATTCTAAGCTTTGTGACAGTGACTGTTGAGGATGGAGACGGTGGATCTTAGTGCAGAAGAAAGCTCCCAGGAAGGAAACTACTGAAACAGGAAGGAATGCCTGGTGGCTTCAAATAAGACAGACCTTTCAGGGTAGGAAAGAGCCTTCCTAACACGCAGGACAAGGCTTCAGCTCTGCTGGAAGTCCAATCTACTCTGGCATGAATTTTCCCCAAATTGTTCAGCTGCATATAGTAGGAATCCTAGCAAACTGAGGTACGGTAAGATACCTTCAGGAAACCAATCATGTTTATACACTACCACTCATAGAAGCTGTCATGCCCATGTAATGGAGGAGTTAAGCACAGGGGACAACTGGATGCTACATTTGGTTTACGTCCAGTATCTACGCCAAGCCTTGCACTGTCAGGAAGGCATTCAGTGAGGTTCCCGTCCTCTAAACGCCTACTCTCTGGGTGCATACTACCCAGCGTGGGGCACAGATTAAGCCGCCACTTGAGTCACCAGCATCCCATACTGGAGCACGGCTTTAGTCCTGGCCACTCCAGTTCCGATCCAGCTTCCTGCTAATGCACCTGGAGAGACAGCAGAAGGTGACCCAAGTACTTGGGCCTCCATCACCCAAGTGAGAGACCAGGACAGAGCTCCTGACTCCTGGCTTCAGTATGGCCCAGACCTGGCTGTTGTGGCCATCTGAGGAAGTGAATCAGTGGATGGAAGATATCTGTGTGTGTGTGTGTGTCCCTCTTTGTCTGTTGTCCTCCCTCTCTGTTGTTCTTTCAAAAAAATAGATTTTTTTTTTTAAAAGATTCGTTTATTTAAGTGAGAGGCAGAGTCACAGACAGTAAGTGCAAGTTTGAGCTGCTCTACTTCCAATCCAGCTCCCTGCCAATGAGCCTGGGGAAGTAGCAGAAGATGGCCCAAGTGCTTAGGCCCCTGCCACTCACACTGGAGATCTGGATGGAGTTCCAGGCTCCTGGCTTTGGCCTGACCCAGCCCTGGTTGTTGCAGGTACTTGAGGAGTGAACACGGGATACATCTGCCTCCCCTGCTGCCCTCAACTCTGTCTTTCAAATAAATAATCTTTAAAAAAAGAATTGAGCCGGCGCCGTGGCTCAATAGGCTAATCCTCCACCTTGCGGCGCCGGCACACCGGGTTCTAGTCCCGGTCGGGGCGCCGGATTCTGTCCCGGTTGCCCCTCTTCCAGGCCAGCTCTCTGCTATGGCCAGGGAGTGCAGTGGAGGATGGCCTAGGTGCTTGGGCCCTGCACCCCATGGGAGACCAGGAAAAGCACCTGGCTCCTGGCTCCTGCCATCGGATCAGCGCGGTGCGCTGGCTGCAGCGGCGGCCATTGGAGGGTGAACCAACGGCAAAGGAAGACCTTTCTCTGTCTCTCTCTCTCACTGTCCACTCTGCCTATCAAAAAAAAAAAATAAATAAAAAAAAAATAAATAAATAAAATAAAAAAAATTAAAAAAAAAAAAAGAATTAAGAGGAGCTGGCACTGTGGCGCAGTGAGTTAAAGCCCTGGCCTGAGGTGCCGGCATCCCATATGGGCGCCGGTTTGAGTCCCAGCTGCTCTTCTTCTGATCCAGCTCTCTGCTATGGAAAGCAGTGAAAGATGGCCCAAGTCCTTGGGCCCCGCACCCATGTGGGAGACCTGGAGGAAGCTCCTGGCTCCTGGCTTCGGATCAGCACAGCTCTGGCTGTTGCAGCCAGCTGGGGAGTGAACCAGCGGATGGAAGACCTCTCTCTGTCTTTACCTCTCACTGTAACTCTTTCAAATAAATAAAATAAATCTTTTAAAAAAAAAAGAATTAAGAGAAAAATTCAATCTAATGCAAATACTGTAGAACACACATAAATTTTTCTGAATTACAACAGGTTTAAATGCACAGACATTAAATGTACATGGAAGAGGATATAGATATACAACTGATTCCTATGTCAGTAACAAATTGAGCCATTTTACTAAGGGTGGCATGAGATATGTGCTGATCTATTCATATTCTCTCACATAATCTCCCAAACACCAACAAGACATTCTGAAAAGGCTTTCAGGGATCAAAACAGTTTATGGTGATGAAACAGAGCAAAGTAGGCCTCAAACACTGGCAATGGTACTTTTCAAACAAAGCCTGGGGCAGACATTTAGCCTAGCAGTAAAACCACCCACAGCCCATGCTGGAGTGCCTGGTTTGACTCCTGGCTCCAGCTTCCTGCTTACAGAGATGCTGGGAAGCAGTGGTGATAACTCAAATATTTGGGTTCCTGTGACCCACGGGGAAACCTGGATTGAGTTCCCGGCTCCCGGCTTCAGCCCAGGCTCCGGCCCTGGCCAGTGCAGTTACCTGGGGAGTAAACCAGTGCATGGGAGCTCTCTCTTTGTGTCTGTCTCTCTGTCCCTCATTTAAGTGAACAAATAAAATACCAATTAGGGATTACTGTGTATCAGGTACTATGCCAAGAAAGGAGGAGAATTTTAGCCCTCGAAGAGCTCAGTCTGATGGGGAGAAAGGACTGACAACTTCAGGTCAGTGCAATAACAAGTGTGACCACACACATGGGGCACAGCAGGGGCCCAGGAGAGGTTTCGGTACTCAGAGCCTAATGCAACTGATGAAGACCCGCATGGTTTTATGTGCTCAGCCCAGGGCGTTCCTACCACAGGCAAGCCTACCTGGCAGTAAAAGGCTCTTCTGAAGAGTAAAGTACCAGGGCCAGCACTGTGGCTCAGCGGGTTGACGCCCTGGCCTGAAGCACCGGCAGCCCATATGGGCGCCAGTTCTAGTCCCGACTGCTCCTCTTCCGATCCAGCTCTCTGCTATGGCCTGGGATAGCGGTGGAGGATCGCCCAAATCCTTGGGCCCCTGCATCCGCGTGGGAGACCCGGAGGAAGCTCCCGGCTCCTGGCTTTGGATCGGCACAGCTCTGGCCATTGCGGCCATTTGGGGAGTGAACCAGTAGATGGAAGACCTCTCTCTCTGTCTCTACCTCTCTCTGTAACTCTCTCTTTCGAATAAATAAAATCTTTAAAAAAAAAAAAAAGAGTAAAGTACCCAGATTATTTTCTCTGCAAGAAAACTCACATGTCAATGCCTAGTTAGAATGCTGAGACATTTAACAGACGGATTCTTGCGGACACAGACTTCCTCAGAGTCTGCTGCAATCTGGTCAGAGGCGAAAGACAGTTCTTAGAAAAAGAAAAAACAAGAAAACTGCTGAACTCCACCTTGCCTGCTGAAGAGTCCAGAAGAAAATCTACGGCTCTGCTGACACCAGGGCCTGAAACAGATGTTCACTCTGACACAGGAGGACCCAAGTTCTGATGGAGCAGGGCCAGTTCTCACCTCCTTGATGCGCACCCCCTTCTCGCCTCTAGTGGCACTGAGCAGCAGCTTCCTGAGCTGTGTGTCGTCCACAGCCTTTGGCAGGTTGTGCAGGCAGAGCCTGGTCCGAGAGACGAAGATATTCTGGTCCTTGAGTTTCTGGTGTTTCAGTAGCTCAAACTAAGAGAATAACACACTGTTAACAGAACATCCCACCCTTTGAAAAGGCAAGTTAGCAATTCTCCTAAGCAAAAGTACCACGACCCCACCTACTCTAACCACACCTAGAGAAAGGGAAACAACTGTCCACCCTGCAGCTGTATAATGCCCAGCATAGGTTCATGCAGGCAAGATGGTGGGCCAGCAAGACCATGGCTCTGGAGTCAGAGCTGAATCACAAAGTCATCCCTAAATGGAGAAGTTACAAGACATTTTAAGCCTCAGTTTTCCACCTATAACATGGAACTGCAGATCCACATATAATATGAGCCTTTTAGCACTAATGTGAGGCCAAAATGAAATAACAGAAAAAAATTCCTAGCTCAAAAGCTGGCCCACTGTCATCCCGTATGGGCACAGGTTCAAGTCCCAGCTGCTCCACTTCCGATTCAGCTCCCTGCTAATGCACCCGGGAAAGCCAAAGATGGCCCAAGTTGTCGGGCCCTTGCCACCCATGTGGGAGACCCAGATGGAGTTCCAGGCTCCTGGCTTCAGCCTGGTCCGGCCCTGGTCATTGTGGTCATTTGTGGAGTGAACCAGTGTATGGAAGAGCTCCCTCTCTCTGTCTGCCCACCCCACCCCCTACCTAACTCTGCCTTACAAATAAATAAATCTGAATTTCAAAAAAATAAAAGGCCAGCGCCGTGGCTCAATAGGCTAATCCTCTGCCTAACGGCGCCAGCACACCGGGTTCTAGTCCCGGTCAGGGCGCTGGATTCTGTCCCGGTCGCTCCTCTTCCTGTCCAGCTCTCCGCTGTCGCCCGGGAATGTAGTGGAGGATGGCCCAAGTGCTTGGGCCCTGCACCCGCATGGGAGACCATGCAGACCATGCAGCGCGCCGGCCGCAGCTGCCATTGGCGGGGTGAACCAACAGAAAAAAGACCTTTCTCTCTGTCTCTCTCTCTCACTGTCCACTCTGTCAAAAAAATAAAAAATAAAAATAAATAAATTTTAAAAAAAAGCAAGTTGACCCAGAGTACATAGCAAATCATAGTGAGGCTATCATCAGTTCTCATCTTCTCAACTCAAACACGACCCAGTCCTTCTGAAAGGAAATGGACTTGAACACTGGAAGGGGCACTGTCCTGTCCCCACTCTGCCACCCTGAGGCAATGGAAGCCAGTGACCACGCTGCCGCAGACACCCTCTCCGGAATGAGATGATGGATGACATCTCCTAATTTGTTTTTTGAAACGAGGTGGGGAGAAAATAGTTTACAATTAATTATTTCTTCTTATCAAGTCTTCTCAGACTCGCTGCTTCTTATCTGGTGAAAGTTCCCACCAGATCACAGAATACACACTTTGGAAGAGAGGATTAAAGGGACAGCTAAAGCGGGCACCACGTCAAGGTTCAACAGGCTACTTTGCTCTTAGAAAAAGCTGTGCCTGCTGTGAATCTGTAACGCACACATCTAGGCTAGTGAGCTCTGTGCTAGCAAAATTAGTTCTCAAATTAAATAAGTCATTATTGCACTATGGTCAGAATGCACCCCCAATATCATGATTTCCAGATGCTCACTATCCAAACAGTCGAGAGCTAGTCTGGGATGCATGTGGGCTGAAGGACACACTGCTCTGCTGTCAGCATATGTCGCCCCTGTTCAGTGTCTTCTCCACTTCCAGGTTCCACAGCTAATTCTGTTAATGGTTATGCATCTTCACCATGCTAGACTGGCTTAGCTTCTGGGATGTAAGCTACATGGGAAAAAGTAAAAATTACTGGGAACCACCACTACCCAGCAGCAAAGGGACTTCAACAGTACCAGCTGACAGGGGAAACTCCTATAACACGGATTTCTCCTAAAATGATTTTACAACTTGAAGACAGGAATCCCTTCCAAGACCTGTGTCTCTTCCCTTCCCTAATAACTCCAGTCCAGACTGGGCTTTCTGACATTACCCGGGGTTTATACTGGCTAGCCTCTAAGTGTCTAGGTGGGTCACTTGCTGTCCCCCCCGTGTGAAACACAGTGAGCAGACTCTGTGACCTAGACATGGCTCTCTGACAGCACAGCAAGCACTCACTAATTGCTTTTCACTGAACTCAGAAGTCACGCAGAACCTCACGGCGGGGCCTTATCTGCTCACCCGTTCTCTCTTGGCCATATCAGCAGCACTCACACCCTCGGCAGCCTTCGTCCCAGCACGAATCACTGCAGAAAGAGGGAAAAAGGCCAAGACATCACCAAGGGGATTCTCATTGAGCAACAGGAGGAATGTGAGTTGAATGATGCAAACTCTGTACGGGCCCAGAGGACTCTGTTGGCCAGGACATGGTGGCACTTGGTTAGATCCAGAAATAGGCTACAGGGCTAAGCTGGGCTCAGAGCTGCTCTCAAGGACTAAAACTCTCAACATTTGGGGATTTTATTCCTCTTTTCCTTCTCTTCCCTCACAGAAGCTTCATGGACATAAGCAAAGTCAGATGGAAAGGAAATCCTGGAGGAAATCCTGAAATTAAGGACATTTTCAGCATTTAGAATGCAAAATAGGGGCCAGTGCTGTGGCGTAGCAGGTAAAGCCACTGCCTGTAGTGCCAGCATCCCATACGGGTGCCAGTTGAAGTCCTGGCTGTTCCACTTCTGATTCAGCTCTCTGCTATGGCCTGGGAAGGCAGAAGGTGACCCAGATCCTTGGGCCCCTGCACCCACGAGGGAGACCTGGAGGGGGCTCCTGGCTCCTGGCTTTGGAGCGGCTCGGCTCCAGCCATTATGGCCAATTGGGAAATGAACCAGCAGATGGAAGACTTTCTCTCTCTACCTCTGCCTCTCTGTAACTCTGCCTTTCGAATAAAGTAAATCTTAAAAAAGAATAAAAGAATGCAAATGTTCTACCTGGAATCTGCCCCTGGAATCTCATGCTGCTCGTGTACTGGGGAGGGGGCCAATACTCAGCAGTGAGATGAGCCAGTCCGGAAAACAGTTACACTGCCGCAGACGCCCAATATCAAAGGCTAACGGAGTAGCATTACCAGCCCCGACTGTGCAGCTGGGCGGGCAGTAAGCTGATAAATACTGTGACTGGGAAAAAGCGATTATTTAACTTGAAGCTAATGTCTGATGATCCTTCTGCCATTATGGGAAAGGGACAGCATACACATTTTCATCCATAAACAGTCCAAGAGTAATTTAAGTCATACTTTTCAACTCCTTCAGAAAACCTCTTATTAGAACTGATGACAAGAGGCAGAGGTAATTTGAGTTTTCTTCCCTCTTTGCCTTGCCAAACCTCTAATGGGAAGGTCTGAAGGCATCCAGGCAGAAAGGAGAACAAGACTGGCTAATCCCAAAAATGGGTGATGGCTCCTAGCGGGAAGCCACATCCACTAAAGTGGGATAATGATATGTGTAACACTGTTAAATAGGACATTTGGGTTTTTAATTTGAAACATGCTTCAAAACACAGTATTCCTGGATCCCTGTCAGGGCACAGGGCCAGCCACTTAGAAGCCAGATTCACGGCTCCCTTGCACTACTCACAGCCTTCTCGGGCCAGATAAAGGTTCCGGGTTCCAGTCGGCTTCTTCACCTTCTTTGTCCGGAGCTTGGCAGCCTCATCACGGGTTACTGCCAGGTCAACCTTGAGCTGTCGGCCGTCCAACTTAAGACCACCACCCTGTTACGAGATGGCAACGTCTCTCTTAAGATACACAAGTAGGAACTAAGGACAAGGAATCCCAAGGAGAGGGAACCCAGTGTGTTGTGGAATCTGAGTGCCACCGAGTTGCAGCCCACCAGTGGCCACGAGTGGATCACTGAGCCTCACAAGCGCTGTACAGCTGTGAGAAGGCCACATGTATACTTAGAGTAGGCAGCAGAAAGTAAGTTACTTCATGGGAGCTGATTAATTTCCAAAGTAGGCCCAAACTGAGGAAAATGATCTGCAATAAAATTTTTTAGTAATCTTAAGAAAGCTAACAAAGTAGTACAACGCTGTCCACTTATGAGAATTTATGGGATAATGGCAATACAGAATAACTTAAAACATTTTACACACACAGAAAAATTCTCCATCACCCACTTTCTCTCTCAAACATTTACTCCACGTGAAACACAGCCTTATACCTTCTTGTCTCAGTCTTTCATGTCCTCAGTCTAGGACAGAGGTGGACACACAGATGGCCATCAGTAAATTCAGATACATTACTCGACCTGATTCCTCGTCTATGAAATACAGGGCTAATTCTACAGACCTCGCAGGGCTGATACAGTGATTAAATAGGTAATGCAATCAAGTTCAGTGCCTACACACACAAAGTGTTCACTAAATGCTACTATTACTGATAATAACAATAACAAGGCTTCGTGTAAAGGTCAGATGGCCCTGGGAGCCACCCTCTCTAGACACAGGGTAAAGGACATGTCTTTCCTACCTCAACCTCTGGAGAAGCAGCTGCCAGGCACTTCTGAGCGGCTTCTTGAGTCGTGAACTGGGCAAATGCACAACCTACACAAGACACACACACACAAAAAAACTCCCATGGCCCACCAGGAAGCCAAAGGCAACACTCCAAGTCGAAGCTTGACACCGAGTGGGCGGGGTAGGGATAGGCGGCATCCACTTTTTAAGTCCGAGGAGCTCGGCACTGTGTCAGGTACTATGTCAGGGACTGATAGTCACTTGCTCTCAGTGAAATTTTACCTTTGCTTCCTTCCCCTCTAATGCTTCTTAGGACTTCAGTCTCATCATCTCTCTACTTAACAAGAAATATCCACAGGAAATGCTGGAGAAAGTCCAGCCTCCCGCTTATTTTAGCATCACCTACCAAGTGCCTACTACAGAACTAAAAAACGAGGCAGGAACCATGTAACCCTGAAATTCATTACAGATCTCACTGTCTCAGTCACTGGGGAGGCATCAGATAACAGCAGATCTGCCTCCTGGAGTTAAAGCCGTTGGTCTCTATCACACGAACACGGTCAGGAAATCGGAAAGCCGTGCGCTCAATTCTTGGCTCATGCTCTAGAATCTACAGGGCATGCCTTTTGTTGGTTAGATGCAGGGCCAATCAACCCATCCAAATTTCTGCTACTGGCAAAAAAAGCAGCCATTATAAGCAGAGGGAAAAAAGTGTATAAAGTAGATTCCAAACAAAGAAATGGGGCGAGTGTCTGGCCTAGTGGTTAAGGAGCCCGTCAGGACATCCACATCCCACGTGAGAGTCCCTGGATTCAAGTCCTGACCCTGCCCCGCATATCAGCTTCCTGCTGATGTACACCTGGCAGGCAGCAAGTGACAGCTCAAGTACCTGGGTCCCTGTCACCCACGTGGGACACCTGGATTGGGTTCTAGGCTCCTAGCTTTAGTCTGGCCCAGCCCAGCAGGCATCTGATGAGAATCAGCAGATGAGAGTTCTCTGTTAGTCTGTCTGTCTCTCTCTCTCAAAAAGAAAAATCGTGGGGCCACTGCTGTGGCACAGTGAGTTATGCTACCACCTGCAATACCAGCATCCCATGTGGGCAGCTGTTCAAGTCCTGGCTACACCACTTATGATCCAGCTCCATGCTAATGTACCCAGGAAAGCAAAAGAAGATGGCTCAAGGCTCAAGTGTCTAGGCCCCTGCCGCCCATGTGGGAGACCCAGAGGAAGCTCCTGGCTTTGGCCTGGCTCAGCCCTGGCCATTGCAGCCATTTGGGGAGTGAACCAGTAGATGGAAGATATCTCTCTCTAACTCTGCCTTTCAAATAAATATATAAATCTTAAAAAAAAAAAAGTCATTTTAAAAAAAGAACTATGGTTTCAAAATATTTTGTTGGTATTCCTTTAAACATTAAATATTCTCTCATTTATGAAAACACTGCCATATTTCCTGGAACTTGCAGGGCTTTAACAATGAACAGCAGCACATTAACTGTGAGGACACATGGGGCAGGCCAGCCTCCAAGCAGAGCTGAGTGCACCTCCTCCTGGGTCCCCATCCCCTCATTCCTCCACTCCTGCCTCTATTATAGCACTGGTCAGTGGGCGTCTTCCTGAACAGAACAACAGCTCAGGGATAAGAACTGTGCTTCCCGGCTGTCTGTCTCTCCATCATCCACCAAAGAGCACAGCATTTCCAGATACTAAAAAGAAGAAAACCAATGCAGTCAGCCCTGCATTATCTGATGGTTCAAGCACAGATCGAAAACACTGATGGAAACAAACAGATCTGTACTGAATATGTAAAGAGTATTTCTTCTTGTCATAATCACCTAAATAACATAGAACAACTATTACACTGTATTAGGTATTACAAGTAATCTAATGATGATGTTAAGTGTGAGTACACAGGATGCTCATTGGTTATACGCAAATACTGTGGCATTTTATACAAAGGACTTGAGCATCTGCAGATTTCAGTACCCATGAGGGTCCCAGCACCAGCCTCCTGAGGATATGGAAGGATACCTACAATAAAAGAAGAATGGGAGGAGGGAATGTTTCTAACAGGAAGATTAGCCAACAGAAAGAAAATGGGTGTTTCTCGCTCATTAGGTAAGAATTTCATCACTGGCATTCCCAAGGCCAGTACTGGGTTCAGTCTTCCCATTTCCCTAAAAGTCTGCAGAAAAACAAGTATTTAACTCTTCGAGTTTATGACACGGCCCAGTGAGAAGGGCAAACTATAGGAGCATAAGGCTGCATGAATAGACATGACAGGTGTCAGAAAAGCTCAAGATGAGCTAGGAAAGATAAAATATGAAGGAAAAAAGGATTAAAACTATTCTTGTGGGGCCGATGCTGTGGTGCAGCCTGTTAAAGCCCCAGCCTGCAGCACTGGCATTCCATATGGGCACCAGTTCAAGTCCTGACTGCTCCAGTTCCAATCTAGCTCTCTGCTGTGGCCTGGGAAAGCAGAAGATGGCCCAAGTGTTTGAGCCGCTGCACCTGTGTGGGAGACCTGGAAGCAGCTCCTGGCTCCTGGCTTTGGTCTGGCCCAGTCCCAGCCATGTAGCCATTTGGGGAGTGAACCAGCGGGTGGAAGACCTCTCTCTCTCTGCCTCTGCCTTTCAAATAATTAAATAAATATTTTTTTAAAAAAAGGCTCAGGAACAAAAAAATCCTACTGATTTATTATTTTTTTAATTTATCTGAGAGGTAAGAGTTATAGACAGAGGAAGAGACAGAAAGAAAGGTCCTCCATCTACTGGTTCGTTGCCCAAATGACTGCAATGGCTGGAGCTGGGCCAATCTGAAGCCAGGAGCCAGGAGCCTCCTCTGGGTCTCCCATGTAGGTGCAGGGGCCCAAACACCTGAGCCATCCTCCACTGCTTTCCCAGGCCACAGCAAAGAGTTGGATAGGAAGAGGAGCAGTGGAGACCACAACCATTGCAGGCAGAGGCTTAGTCCTCTACGCCACGGCGCAGGCCCGATCTTAGTATTTCAAGCAATGTGGAATGATTAATGCCCAGGAGATACTATCACATTTGAAATTCAAAGCAGAAAAAAAAAAAAAAATTCAAAGGAGAACAAATAGAATTCATTACCCTAAAGGAAATAAACAAGGGCTTAAAAAGTTGAGACAAAACATGTCTGGCAGCACCAATGAAGACATCATGGGAGACAAGCTCAGAACATCCAAGGGCTCCTATAGCACCAGAAACCTGAGCTACGTGCACTGCCAACCCTCAGAATGGCCCACATTATGCACACTCGGTGTAACCTAGTCAATGCCCATGGCAGGGGTCTCCATCCTTTCAGGGCCTGGGCAACTAACTCGCAGCAAATACCTTTAGAATGCTCTGTGTCTGGATGCAAGACGATGCGGACATATTTAAGATCTCCAAACTGCTGGAGGAGCTCCCCAAGGTCTTCTTCCTCGGAGTCAAAGGACAGGTTTCTAAGAAGATACAAGGTTACAGAAGGGTCAGTTACAACAGTGAGATCTGCCTGAAGACTTCAACTGGGTGGATCCCTTCCTAAAAAGCACCCTCCGCTGTTTAGAGATAGCCATCAGTACACAGCAGTGGCCCCTTGTGGGGGCTTCTGTTACAGGACTCTGCCCCTTGGTCCCAGCTGACTGTCCTGTATCACCTAATCTTCTCCCCCAGAGATCTGAAATAGACATCTACAAAGATCAGAAGCTGTAGATGCAACATCACGTCAAAGTGTTAGCATTTCCACCTGAGGGACGTTTCTGGGGTGCTGGAAATGCTCTGCACCTTGATCTGGTGGTGTCACATGGAGATACGACCATAAACACATGAAAGAAATTCAGAGCTGTACACCTAAGAGTAATGCAATTAACAGGACATGTTACACCTTATTGTTGTTGTTGTTATTATTATTATTATTTACAAAGGTGGCGCTCCCAGAGAAAAGACTGCAGGCTCCAGCCTCAAGCAGTGGGGGTCTCAGAACTGTCGGGATTTCCATCTCCCTCCTTGAGCTTTGTTCTCGAACCACTCCGATTCTGACAGCCACCCCGTATTCACCCAACAGACTCTCCTCCTCATTTAACATGGCCAAAAGTAGTTTCTCTTACTGTAGCCAGAAGATTCATGGCAAGCTACCTAAAAAAGTTAAATCTCTCTCTCTTGAATAGTCACTCTCTCCTCTGTGTTGTAATGGAAGACTTGTCTCTCCAGCTTTCAGTTAAAATGTTATACAGATCAGAAAAGAAAATCCTTCAGAACAACCAAAAGCAAACCTGGAAAAATTTGTTGGCTAAATGCAAAAAACAAAAACAAAACAACCTTACAAATTAGGCATCTGTAACCTGAAAATCCAAAATGTTTTGAGCACCAATAGGATAATCAGAAAGTTTCAGATTTTGGAGAATTCTGGATTTCAGATGTTTGGATAAGCGATGTTCAAACAGAAAAGTTTATGTAAGCATTCCAAAATCCAAAAACTCTAAAACTGTAAACACTTACGGTCCTCAGCATTTTGAAAAAGGGATACTCAACCAGCACTTAGTCTTTTGATGGGGATTTTTTAAATGTTGGAAGATTTTTTCTCCTAAATTTCAATATAATATTGATTCCTCATTCCCCCAGCTGGCACATCCTTCCAGGAGTAAGAAAAACAGTTCTTTTTTTTTTTTTTGACAGGCAGAGTGGACAGTGAGAGAAAGAGAGACAGAGAGAAAGGTCTTCCTTTTGCCGTTGGTTCACCCCCCAATGGCTGCCGCGGCCGGCGCACCGCACTGATCCAAAGGCAGGAGCTAGGTGCTTCTCCTGGTCTCCCATGCGGGTGCAGGGCCCAAGTACTTGGGCCATCCTCCACTGCACTCCCTGGCCACAACAGAGAGCTGGCCTGGAAAAGGGGCAACCGGGACAGAATCCAGCGCCCAGACCGGAACTAGAACCCGTGTGCCGGCGCCGCAAGGCGGAGGATTAGCCTAGTGAGCCACAGCGCCAGCCAGAAAAACAGTTCTTAATAAATAGCTGCAATTTTACTTTTATACTCAATAAATAACCCTGCAAATGATTCTATTTCATGAAGCAACTCAAATTTTTTTAAAAAAAAGCTTTCTAGGGGCCAGCACTATGGTGTAGTAGGTAAAGCCGCCGCCTGCACTGCCAGCATTCTCATATGGGCATGGGTTCGAGTCCTGGCTGCTCTACTTCCAATCCAGCTCCGTGCTATGGCCTGCGAAAGCAGTAGAAGATGGTCCAAGTCCTTAGGCCTTACACCTGCATGGGAGACCCGGAAGAAGCTCTTGGCTCCTGGTTTCAGATTGGGGCAGCTCTGGCCATTGCTGCCATCTAGGGAGTGAACCAGCAGATGGAAGACCTCTCTCTCTCTCTCTGCCCCTGCCTCTTTCTCTAACTCTGCCTTTCAAATAAAATAAATATTAAAAAAAAAAAAGCTTTCTGCAGTAAGCCAGCCTAGCTATATTATTTCTTCTGATTTACCTAGCATGTATGTCTATGCTTTTATTTCCTCTCCCATTCCTTTGTTGCCCTAAGCTCTTTATTCATTGAAAGATATATACAGAATGGTAATCTTGCTATTGAGGCCACAGGCTTCTGACCATGAAGCTTCTTCCTTCTCATTAGGCAGAATCCTCTACAAATAAATAAGACCAGTGTATGCTAATAATAATTGATATAATTAAAAAGGAGAGAGGCCGGCGCCACGGCTCACTAGGCTAATCCTCTGCCTTGCGGCGCCGGCACACTGGGTTCTAGTCCCGGTTGGGGTACTGGATTCTGTGCCGGTTGCCCCTCTTCCAGGCCAGCTCTCTGTTGTGGCCAGGGAGTGCAGTGGAGGATGGCCCAAGTACTTGGGCCCTGCACCCCATGGGAGACCAGGAGAAGTACCTGGCTCCTGCCATCAGATCAGCACGGTGCGCTGGCCGCAGCGCGCCGGTCGTGGCGGCCATTGGAGGGTGAACCAATGGCAAAGGAAGACCTTTCTCTCTGTCTCTCTTTCTCTCACTGTCCACTCTGCCTGTCAAAAAAAAAAAAAAAAAAAGAGAGAGAGAGAGAGAACAACCCAACATGGGAAGCAGGATACACAGCAGACTCATAGAATGGCAAATGACCTAAATAGCACTCTGGCTTCAGAATCAGCCCTTAAGGCATTCAGATCTGGCTAAAAAGCCCATGAGAGTTTCTCAGGCATGGAAAGCCAAGACACTCTGGAAAAAAATGACCTAAATGATCTAAATGAAAAAGTGGAAAGAACAGGCCATCAAAGAAGGAGGTACCTTTCCCTGAAGGGAGGAGAGAACTTCCACTTTGATTATAACCTTGTCTAAATAAGGTCGGAGTTTGTGAACTCAAGAGGCTTCCATAGCCTTGGCAGCTTATGACAAGAGCCTCAGGTGATCACTGACATCATAAATAAGAGTGTCAATTGTTAAATCAACAACAGGAGTCACTGTGCACTTACTCCCCATGTAGGATCTCTGTCCTTAACGTGTTGTACTATGAGAATTAACAGTAAAAATAGTCATCAAACAGTACTTTACACTTTGTGTGTCCGTGTGGATGCAAACTGTTGAAATCTTTACTTAGTATATACTAAGTTGATCTTCTGTATATCAACATAATTAAAAATGAATCTTACCGAAGAATGGGATGGGAGGAGTAGGAGATGGGATGGTTTGCAGGTGGGAGGGTGGTTATGGAGGAAAAACTGCTGTAATCCCAAAGCTGTACTTTTGAAATTTATATTGATTAAAAAAAAGGTAACAGAAGGTCTTTTATTCAATTTTTAATAAACGATATATGAAAAACCAAAATTAACTCTGCACAGGTTCTGAGTAACACAGTTAAAAAAAAAGTATGGAAAGACATGCTTTCAAGTAAAACAATCTTTTTTTTTTTTTTTTTTTTAGATTTATTTATTTGAGAAGTAGAGTTACAGATACAGAGAGGGAAAGACAGAGAGAGGTCTTCCATTCACTAGTTCACTCCCCAAATAGCCACAATGGCTGGAACTGAGCTGATCCAAAGCCAGGACCGGGAGCTTCTTCCAGGTCTCCCACACAAGTACACAGGCCCAACCACTTAGGCCATCTTCTACTACTTTCCCAGGTCATCAGCAGGGAGCTGGATCAGACGTGGAGCAGCCAAGACTTAATCCAGCACTCTTATGGGATGCTGGTCCCACAGGCAGAGGCTTAACCATAGCGCAGCCCCTAAAAAAATCATCTTAAAATACTGTACAAAAGGATAAAAGGCATACCTCTAAAATCAGACCCAAATCAGACCCTGGTGCATAGTACTTAAAAAAGGACAAGGGGCGGCACTGTGGTGCAGCAGGTTAACGCCCTGGCCTGAAGCGCCGGCATCCCATATGGGCACTGGTTTGAGACCTGGCTGCTCCACTTGTGACCAGCTCTCTGGTGGTAAGGCCTGGGAAAGTAGTGGAGGATGACCCAAGTCCTTGGGCCCCTGTACCCAGCGTGGGAGGCCCAGAAGAAGCTCCTGGCTCCTAGCTTTGGACTGGCGCAGCTCTGCCCCTTACGTCCAATTGGGGAGTGAAGCAGCGGATGAAAGACCTCTCTCTCTCTCTCTCTGTGTAACTCCAACTTTCAAATAAATAAATAAATCTTTAAAAAAAGAAAAAGATACACTGCCCTATGAAACTGGCAATCTACTGCAGCTAGCAGGGCCAACACAGCAATGCTAACATGAGGTAAAACCTATCTCCAGGACTGGCGCTGTGACACAGCAGGTTAAGCCACTGCCTGCAATGCGGGTATTCCATACAGGCACCTATTCAAGTCCTGGCTGCATCACTTTCAATCCAGCTCCCTGGCAAAGGGCCTTGGGAAGCAGCAGCAGATGGCCCAAGTACTTTGCCCCTGCCACCCACGTGGGAGACCCAGATGAAGCTCCTGGCTTTAACATGGCTCAGCCCTGGCTGTTGCAGCCATTTCAGAAGTGAAACAGTGGGCGGAAGATCTCTGTGTGTCTTTCCCTCTTTCTCCCTCTCTCTGTCTTCCAAATAAACAAATCTTAAAAAGACAAACAAACAAACAAAAAATCTATCTCCACCCTGACTCCTACCCCCAGTTTCCCTGGAAACAGATGTGATATCTTTATTCCAGATACTCTGCTATGAGGTAAGTTAGACATAAAGAGAAAAATCACAGGGGACAAGTGGTGCCAGTCCTCCCCCAGCAATCCTAAAGCAAAGGCCAGAACCAGATTCCTCTAATGGCTATGATTTCTCCCAATGATGCCATCTCAAGGACAAACAATTTCAAAGCCAAATGAGACCAGGACATCAGGACCTCTGTTATTTATCTTCTGTGTTACAGTTCTGATTCCCCTACATTTCTCACTGTTTGGTATGTTCCTAGGATCAAATGTACTAAGTCTTATAAAGGCACCTAAATTTCCCGGCTAGGAAACAGAACTAGCACCAAAAAGGAGGTGAGGAAGAGACGAAGTGAGGGGGAGGGGAAAGGGGGAGGTGAGGAGGGACCCACGAATGCAACACGAACAGCAACCCTCAAGGCAGAAAGGCGTACCTGATAAAAACAGTCTTCCCTTCACTCACATCAGAGGGTAACTTCCTCTTCTTTTTCTTTGAGACTTGTGCATCTAAGGTAAAGAGAAAAAGCAATGAACTGAAAAAGACTAGTGCAAGTCACTCAACAAGCAGCAAACTTCTTCAAAGATCTTGTACGAATCTTCAAAAAAAATTTTAATAGACAAAGGGCATTCACCAAATATATGAAAAGATGCTCACACTCACTCACAATTAAATAAAAACACCACACAGGAAATGAGATATGATCTTTCACCAACAGATGGGCAAAACCAGAAAGATCCATAGATCCAGTATTTCAAAGCATGGGGAAAAAGATAGGCCCTACAGAACTGTAACAGTGTAGATTTTCTGGAAACATAAAATATGAACAACTCGGGGAAATATACAGCCTAGTAATCGTAGCTTCTTGCACACCTTAGGAGGCAGCAGCTCAAGTAACTAGGGCCTTACCACTCACATGGGAGACCTGGATTGAGCTCCTGGCTCCTGGCTTCAGTCTGCAGGCTATAAGCATTTGGGGAGGAGTGAGCGGATGGGAACTGTCTGTCTGTCCCTATCTATTTCTCTGACTCTCAAATAATAAAATTTTAAAACTTCAAAACATGAAATCTTTGATAAGCAAATGCTCACCATATTTTGTGTGTGAATATATACGTGCATTGTTTATAAATGCATTAAAACTCTCACAGGAAGCATGTAATATTGGCTGTCGCTGGGAAAGTGCCCTAAAGGGCAGGGGATCTGAGTACAAGGAAGACTCATTTGCTCTGGAGAACAGACATACATGATTAAACAGACACAGAAAACTTCTGGAAGGTTCCACAACAAACACCAGTGAGTGGTTTCTTTGGCAAACTGGGAGGGACTGGATGGAACATTTACTTTCCATACCAGGCTCTTCTAACTTTCTCACGCTACCATATATTAGTCCTATAATATGGAGATGGTTGAGCCTGGGCTGTAGAATGCATGGTCTCATAGTCCCACCTGTGTAAAAGCTTCTTCAGTTGTAAGGTGTCCTCTCATGAGGAAAGCTAACTTCTGGTCTGGCACTGTGGCGTGGTGGGTAAAGTCACCGCCTGCAATGTGGGCATCCCATATGGGTGCCATCTCATGTCCCAGCTGCTCCACTTCAGATCCAGCTCTCTGCTAATGGCCTGAGAAAGCAGTGGAAGATGGCCCAAGCACTTGGGCCCCTGCCACCCATGTGGGAAATCTCGAGGAAGCTCCAGGTTCCTGGCTTCCACCTGCCTCAGTCCTGGCCATTGCAGCCATCTGGAAAGTGAACCAGAAGAGGATGGAAGATCTCCTGTCTGTCTCTTCCTCTCTCTGAAACTCTGATTTTCAAATAAAATAAATAAATCTTAAAAAAAAAAAGCTTATTTCTTCAGATTTCTTACCTGGTCAAACCAAGATTCCAGACCCACAGAAATGGAACCAGAATAAATACAGCTAAATAAAAACCTCCACCCAGAAAAACCGAAGTACCAGAACATCTTTTGTCCTCTAACAGCCTGACTTCTTCAACAAATAAGCTGAGTCTCTTGTGGATAACAGGGAGCAACCCGGCTTGTTAAGTTTTACAGAACACTCTAAGAGGTCCTTGTTATAAACTGAATTGGGTATCTCCTCATTTAATGAAGCCCTAACCACCAGTGAGAGAGACTGGAACTGTAGAGAGTAATTAAGGCTACCTGGGGTCGTAAGGCTGGGCCCTAATCCGCTATGACTGATGTCCTTATAGGAGAGACCAGAGCCCATCTGTGCTTGTCTCCTGCCCCCTCCCTCAAGCACACATGGGAAAGGCCACGTGAGGACACAGAGGAAGTGGCAGTCTGCAAGCCGGGAAGCGGCTCACCAGGAACAACACCAGCTAGTGCAACATCGGGGACTTCCCGCCTGCAGAACCAGAGAAAGCAAATGTCTGCTGTTCAAGCCACCCAGACTTTGTTACGGCAGCCTGAGCTGTCCGTAGGGTCCTTCATCCCACTCTGAACTCAAAGGAGTTGTGGGAAAATCTACCAGGCCTTAACATGCACTATCTTGTCTATCCAGTTATTCAGTCAGCTCGGACTTGGACATTCAAGACAGAAAGGTTGTACCTTAGCATTAAGCTCAGTTTTAAATTCCCAGGAAAGGATCTTAACCCTCAAACACCACTCCAAACTCACTTAGAAAACAAAAAAGAAAAAAATAAGAGGAAAGAAACTTTAGAAGAATACAAAGGTTTCCTTTTCAGCATTTAGATATAAACGTGATCAAACATCCCAGGGTCCTATTGAAGCAGAGGCCAGAGTGGAACGGCTGCACATTTGAGGAGCCCGCTCAAAGTCGGAAGGCATTCGTGAAGAGCCAGACAAACCTTCGCCCTCCTGCTCCCCAGCGCTGGCGTCACTCTCAGCCAGGTCCTCGCCACCACCCACACGGTCTCCTTCCTCCAGGTCACTGTCCTCACCCGAAGCATCGTCTCCACTGCTTTCTGTGGCGACGGTTTTCTTGACTGCTCTGAAATGGCAAGGTCCACAGCTAAGGCTCTGAGCTGCCACAAGGGGCCGTGTAACTTCAGCACACAGGTCAGACACACAGAGAGCAATGCAGGGAGGGGCACAGGGACGGGACACTCCCCCTCAGAGACAGTCCCCACTCTTCCTCTGCTGGCTCGCAACAGGCTGCACCGCTTACCTCTTCTGAACACGCATGGCCTTGGTCACCTTGGAATCTTCCTTCTCCTCTTCATCTTCGTCATCGTCATCATCTTCGTCATCATCCTCACTGTCATCATCGTCCTCACCCTCATCGTCGTCATCATCATCTTCCTCTTCTACATCCTCTTCCTTCCTGCCACTCTTTTTAACTGACTCCTGAAGGTTAGGTTCACAGCTTTTCCCCTTACCTATAGAGAGAGGTAAAGAAAGTTAGGAATTCACTGAGTACTAAAGCAAGGTTATTTTAACAGGAGTGACTAATACTCCAAGTTCCAAGTTTCTTTGGTTTTACAGAATTTTGTAAAATCTGTATATAGCAAGAGAACAGATGAGAGGAAAAAAAGCAAAAAAACACAAACGTTTATTCAGTTCATCAGAAGCCTAATGAGAGAAGTAGCACCCAGGCCTCCACCAATAACCCACTACTTGTATGCCATAGCCAGCACCCTGCTCACTCTGGAGCCCAGCCATGAGCTCTCCTCTCTGAGTTCTGTTCTCTGAGATCATGAAGGCTTAAAAGCCATTGTTTTCTAAATAAAACTCAGGTTTTAAGTTTCTCTGCTACACTGCTCCCTGTTATAAAGAACTGGGAAAGGAAAGAAAGCAGAGGGGACGGAGACCTCAGGCCTTCCTCACACCCACAGCCCAGGTGGACTTACACTCAACAGAGCCTGTGGTTTGGGAGCAGATCTGAATGGACACACATCCCTGCGAGCGTTCTCCTGCACGCTCTGTCCTCTTCTTGATTAACCCTGCGCTTTCGGTCCGTCCAGCTCAGCATTTTCACTCTAACAAGCAGGTCCTCTTACAATTTTATCGTAAGCACAGAGTAGTTCCCCACTCTCAGGACATACAAGCAGGAGACTCCTCCCCAACACTACATCTTACCTGGGCCAGACACAGCCTGTGTGTCTTTATATTTATCCTTTGCCACAGCCCAATCCACAGCCACTGTCCGCCCTGTCAAACAGAAAAGCGGCATCAGAAAGGCTTTCCTCAACATCGCCCTCTCTTGTAAGTAAATTCCTACTCATCGAAGACAGTAACAGAACAGCGGAGACAACGAAACTTCCAATTTTGAGAATGTTGCTCCTTAATTCAAGCTTCCAGTGGCTGCCTGCTCTTTTTGACCCTTAGCCTTTTGTTCAAGGAACAGAAATTCTGCCTTTCTACCCAGCCACCACACCTGGGACAAGATGGAGTAGGAAGCAGTGTTTCTAATTAGAGTAGCAAGAGGCAAAACAGGGATTTTGGAATAATCTGTACCATTTTCAGAGTTAGGAAATCTCTAAACTAACTGCTTTTTAAGCACAGCACATGATAAATCATAGTTACAACCATGAAAGAAGAGCTTAAACACCAACCTGCAAGTAGTAACAATTATTCCGGGGAGGGGTGGGTATCTGGCATGGTGGTTGAGATGTCCATACCACATTCCACATCAGAGTACTTGGGTTTGAGCCCCAGCTCCACTCCCAGTTCCAGCTTCCTGCTACCTGCACACCCTGGGAGGCTGCAGGTGATAACTCAAGTGCTTGGGCCCCTGCCTCCCACAAAGGAGACCTAGACTGAGTTCTTGGCACCCCAGCCATTGCAGGCATTTGGGGAGTGAACTAGCAGATGAAAACTGTCTCTCTTTGTCCCTCTGTCTATCTCCTTTACTTTGCTTACCAAATAAAATAAAATAAAATAAAAACCATTATCCTAGGGACATTTTTCATTAGGAGTTAACAGGATACTCTTAGCAAATAAAAGAAAGGATATTGAAATAGGTTCTTTCAAGTTTAACTCCAGGATCAAGTATTACAAACATTTCTCCTAGGTATCCTAGGAGAGACTCAACATTAGCAGTGAAACTCAACAATGCAACCATCTCTTGAGAATGTAGAAAGTAGATTACTGTGCTAACTCAACCAAACACCGAAACTTTTCTGACCAACAGTATGGGTACAGAAAACTTGCCTTTTATCTCTTTCATGTTCATGCCTTTGAGAGCTTTTCCTGCTTCTAGGAGGTTTTTGAACTGCACAAAAGCAAAACCACGCATCTTTCCATCTGTGTACAAATGTACAAAAAAGTTAGAGGCAGCAAAGGGAGAGTCAGAACTATAAGAAAGAAATTACAGCAAGTTGGACTGGCAAGATGGCCCAAATCCTGCCGAGTAGCTAGCCCCTTCCTAAAGCAACAGCTTACCTCCTCTTGCTGAGTACACCCTGACTCAGGCTGGGAGACGCATTTTTCTCCAACTGTAACTAGTCTTCTAAAACTAAATCTGGGGGCTGGTGCTGTGGTATAGCAGGTAAAGCTGCCACCTGCAGTGCCAACATCCCATGTGGGTACCGGTTTGAGCCCTGGCTGCTCCACTTCTGATCCAGCTCTCTGCTATGGCCTGGGAGAGCTGGCCCAAGTGCTTGGGCCCCTGCATCCACATGGGAGACCTGGAAGAAGCTCCTGGCTCCTGGCTTTGGATCTGCCCAGCTTCAGCCATTGCAGTCATCTAGGAAGTGAACCTAGAGAGGAAGACCTCTCTTTCTCTCTCTGCTTCTGCCTCTCTGTAACTCTACCTTTCAAATAAATCTTTAAAAATAAATAAACAATCTGATCTAGCTTAAAAATATCACTGAGGAATAGCACTGTTATTTGGGTTTCTATTACTCGTCAAGTACTGTGCCAGCTACTTCATACATATCTATCATCCATGACATATACCTTGTATTTCTATTTCAAACAGTACTTAGTTCAAAGGTAATATGTAAAACCAGGGTAACTAATCTTAATCTATGCCAAGTGAAAGTGTACCAGTACCTGGCTTCTTAGGTACATTGACTTCCAGAACAGCTCCAAACTGAGCAAAAATTGTCTTCAAGTCATCTTCTGAACACTGAAGCCAGATGTAAAGAAAGAAAAGGAAACATCAACTACTAAGTTCACTCATCAGAAGACTGAATATTTGTACTCCTTTTACACTTTTTCAACTAGGACACCAAACATTCCTGAACAGAGACATCTTGCTCTGTATCTAAGAAGCAAAAAGACAGATGTCAGAGGGCTCTTCCTCCCTGCTTTCCCACTGGTTTCCCCAAGACGAAGGCATCACCACACTTGGCGTCACAGGAAGCTCTTGTCTCTCGGGCTCACTTTCTGGATTCAGCAGGGCTAAGTTTCACTCCCAGAGGAATGAAGCCCAATTACCCCATCTTGGTGAGGCACCCCACCAGGGAGCAGACCTTGGCCCTAACAGCCTTCAGCATAGGCAGCGTCTTTTCTCTGTCACTTACCTTAAAGCTCAGGTTCCGAATAATTAACCTGGCTTTCTTATCTGCCACTTTGGGTTTTTTAGACTTCAGCTCCTTCTTCAGGGTCTCTGAATTTTCTAAAAACATAAGAGGCAACGGAGTAAGTCTGTGCTCCAAACCACCCACTTCTAAACCATAACATCACAGGAAAAAAAACTACTGTGACAGATACTTTCCACAGGCTAGCATGGCAATATTCAAGAACACGATTTTCTAAAGTGAGACGGAGACAAAAAAACTACAATGAATATCAAAAATACACTCCATGATTCTGGACATCAGAACGAATTTCAGGAAGCTTGAAGTTCTAGAAGCCACGCCCCCGAGGCACGCTGCCTCTCTCACTTTCATGTGCTGCTCCTCATCCTGGGGAGAAACTCCCCTCAGTCAGGAGAAACTCACCATTTTTCCCCTTCTCCTTGGACTTAGCCCTCAGTTTTTTCTTGGCAATAGTCACATTGATCTTGTGACCTTCAAAGGTGGTGATCTCCTTGAGAGCCCTCTGAACATCTTCCGGCATTGAGAAAGTGACATAGCCAAAGCCTCGGCACGACTTACTCCCTGCAATGACACAACACGGCAAGATGAGAGTGAAAGCAGAGAATCACAAGCCACGTGCACTAAGCCAGTAAATCCTAAACGCCTAAACTAGCAGATATATTGCCAAACCATCCCAAGAGTTTGCCAAAAGTGTCAAAAAAAAAAAAAAAAAAAAAAAAAAAGGCTGACACCAGTGGCCCCTTCCACACTTTGCTCAGAAAGTGTTAAGACTTCTGCCTGCTTCTAATTTGCTGTCTTCGCTGTCAGTTCTTCCCCCTTTCCTGGTAACCTCTAGAATATGAAGGATCCATGATCTATATATTAAGCCTCCAAAGAAGTACTCACCATCAAATACAACAAAATATCACCAGAGGGGCCGGCGCTGTGGCACAGTGGGTTAACGCCCTGGCCTGAAGCGCCAGCATCCCATATGGGCGCCGGTTCGAGACCCGGCTGCTCCACTTCCTGACCAGCTCTCTGCTATGACCCGGGAAAGCAGTGGAGGATGGCCCAAGTCCTTGGGCCCCTGCGCCCACATGGGAGACCAGGAAGAGGCTCCTGGCTCCTGGCTTCGGATTGGCACAGCTCCGACCGTCGCGGCCATCTGGAGAGTGAACCATCGGGTGGAAGACTTCTCTCTCTCTGCCTCTCTTCTCTCTGTGTAACTCTGACCTTCAAATAAATAAATAAATCTTTAAAAAAATATATCACCAGAGAAGGTAGGAAAGGTAGGTACAGTAGCTTTGAAAATCAGAATATAATAACACAGTCCCTTCTCTGAACAGATCAGCAATAAATGCCTGGGGTCCCAACAGAAGAACTTCAAATAACAAACACTGGGGCTGGTGCTGTGGCGTAGCAGGTAAAGCAGCCACCTGCAGTGTCAGCATCCCATAGGAGCACTGGTTCGAGTTCTGGCTGCTCCACTTCTGAACCAGCTCTCTACCACTGCCTGGAAAAGCAGTAGAACATGGCCTAAGTCCTTGGGTCCCTGCACCACATGGGAGACCTGGAAGAAGATCCTGGCTTTGGATCAGCGCAGCTCTAGCCATTGTGGCCATCTGGGGAGTGAACCAGCAGATGGAAGACCTCTCTCTCTCTCTCTCTGCCTCTGCCTCTCTGTAACTCTGCCTTCAAATAAATAAATAAATCTATAGAAAAAAAAAAAAAAAGAAAGAAAAGAAGTATAGGTAAGAGGAGGAAATGCTTCTACAATGAAAACCCTTACGAAGTGTCCTCATTCTAACACAGGCCAACCCACCGTCTCACTAACATGCTGAGCAGCAGAACATGACACAGCATTCTGTAAGTCAGTAACTCTCTGGCGGCTCAACCCAAAACCCTGGACTCAGGCCTGACTCCCTGCACCTGCTTCCTCTGGTAGTTGACATCCGACCCATCAGCGGATCCTCTCAGCTCTAACTCCAGAAAATGTCCATATTGCAACCACCTTCTCCCACCCCAACCGCTACCACCTTGGCCCAACACCAAGACTTCTCATCTGGATGATTTCAAGAGCTGGCTAACCGGTGTCTCTGCTTCTGTCCTATTCTCCTACAGCCTACTCACACCACAGCAGCCAGAGAGAATCTTTCAAAACGTAAACCAGAGAAGCCGACACTGCGGTATAGTGGACTAAGCCTCTGCTTGCAGTGCCGCCATGCCATATGGGCGCTGGTTCTAGTCCTGGCTGCTCCTCTTCCCATCCAGCTCTCTGCTGTGGCCTGGGAAAGCAGCAGAGGTTGGCCCAAGTGCTTGGGTCCCTGCACCCACATGGGAGACTCGGAGGAAGCTCCTGGCTTCAGATCGGCCCAGCTCCGGCCATTGCGGCCATTTAGGGAGTGAACGAGCGAATGGAAGACCTCTCTGTGTCTCTCCCTCTCTCTGTCTGTAACTCTACTTCTCAAATAAGTAAATGAAATCTTTTTTTAAAAAAATATAAGCCAGAACATTCTACTGCCCTCTGTTTGAAACCAACGGCTTTCCAGCTCAGAGCTAAAGCCAGTCTTTGCAGTGCCCATGTGGTTCTAAACGGCCGGGCAGTGTGGAGCTCCTGTCCTAACCCTCCGCCCTTCACGCATTCATTCCAGTCCCTGTGGCCTCCCCGATGGGCCTCCACACGTGTGCAAACCCCTTCTCGAACTGGCTGCTCTCTCCACATGGACTGCTTGTCCCCCAAGAAACAAACTCATTCTCGCCTCAGCTGGCCTTTCCTGACCACCCTTATCCACACTGCCGCTTACCACCCCACACATGCCCATTACAGACACTTGCTATCCCCTTCCCCTGGCTTTCTCCTCAGCCTCCATCAGCAATATCACTACACAACTGGCTGTCTTCTCCACCCTCGAGACCCAAGAACAGGGATTTCTGGTTTGGTGGTGCGCACTGCTGGATCCCCAGGACCTACAAGTGCAACAGACACACAACAGACATTCAGTAAACAACTGCTAAATACATAAATGGTCAAAGAGACGGCATACTGGCCAGGAACTTCGGGTCTGATGATCAAGTTCTCGTCCACGACTTCCTACCTATTCCGACCTTTAAAGTAAGGAAATTTCCCTAAGCCCCTAGATTCCTGTCTGTAGCATGGGATTCAGACTCTACCTAATAAGCCGATGAGCTCACCCGTGTCAAGCTCAGCACCGTGCCTCCTAGTCAGCTGACTCGATACATCTGACTGATGCTTTCTTAAAAGTTAGCTATTTTCATTTTTACCAAATGAGACAGTACACGCGAGCGCGCACAGCGAACGGAAGGCGCTAGAGAAACGTCAGGGGATGCTTTGCCTTCCACAAACCGACCCCGATGGAGACACCCGAGGCAGATTAAGTTTGGAAAAGAATTCAACTCCCAAGCCCTTCCCGTGAGACAGGGCTCCCTGAAGTTTGGGAAGGTGTCCTCGCCCCCATCCTACTCCCAGAAAACCCCAGCCCCATCCTCGACCATCCCGCCCCCTACCTTTCTCAGTCACCACGAAGCACTGCTTCACCGGCCCCACCTGACTGAACAGCTCTTCCAGCTGCTCACTGCGGGCCGAAGGCGGGAGGCGGCCAACAAACAGGGTCAAGCCCGCCATGAGACCCGGAACCTGAGGCTCGCGAGGCGGCGAGCGAAGTAAGCCGACGCACGCGAGTGAAAACTCAGCTTCAGCAGGACAACCGCACCAAGGGACCGGAAGATCCCGGAAGTGTCCGTTTCTCAAAAGAGTCCGGAGGGGCACATGGTAGGAAGAGGAAAGAAACGTTCCGGAGTGAATAAAAAAGAACACCGCCCAGGAGGCGGAGCTGCTTGAGCAGGGTTCCACCCCCTGTTCCAGCGCCGCTCGGCCTCCTGCAGGGAAACCCGCCCTCAGCAGTTCTCCAACTGCTTAGAATCTAGGAGAACGACCCCCAGTTCCTGAGGACAGGCAGGAGTCACTTCTGCCCAGAGTCTAGCCCAGCTCTGACATATAATGGATGTTTAATAAATATTCTCTGAAGTATCTGTATTTCCAGGTTACATGCATAAGTTGCACGTAACACACAAATACAGACATAAGTATGCCACATACATCATTCGGACAATTCTTATATGCTCAGAGACTATGAGACCACTCCGCCTCACTGGAAAATTGTACCTACTAAAGCACAGGCAAGGATCACCGTAATTATTCTTTTTAAAAAATATTTATTTATTTAGGGGCCAGCGCTGTGGCGTAGCGGGTAAAGCTGCCACCTGCAGTGCTGGCACACCATATGGGTGCCGGTTCGAGTCCCAGATGCTCCACTTCCCATCCAGCTCTCTGCTTTGGCCTGGGAAAGCAGTAGAAGATGGTCCGAGTCCTTGGGCCCCTGCATGGGAGACTGGGAAGAAGCTCCTGGCTCCTGGCTTTGGATCGGCACAGCTCCGGCCGTTGCAGCCAATTGGGGAGTGAACCAGCAGATAGAAGACCTCTCTCTCTCTGCCTCTACCTCTCTCTGTGTGACTCTGACTTTCAAATAAATAAATAAATCTTTAAAGTCAATTAATAAAACTTTAAATAAATAAATCATTGCTTTTAAGTGGTGGTAACCCACACAAAGGAGGCAGACAATTCAAAACATGTAAACGTGCAGTGAAAATTAAGTTTCCCTTTCTCCGCAAGTCAAGTCCAAACACTTTAACTACATTTTGGACAGGCAGATGACTGGTTAGTGGTGATGAAGGAGAATGCTAAACATCAGATTTATGAAGCCCTAGCCCCAGCTAAGTCATACACGCTTTGAAGAAAAAAACAACGGCCATGGTTACTGTTAAACCCATAGCTCAAGAAGGAAAGCACTGAAATACAAAACAGACTTTTTTAAAGGCTGCTACGTTAATCTTATCTAGGATAAAGACAAATTGACTAAGTGGGTGTAGGATCCCACATTCCTCCCTCTTCTTTCTCCTTCCTTCCTGCCCACCCGTGCCCCATCTCACCTTGAGAATCAAAATCCCATCCTTAAAGACCAAGTGGCGAACTTCAGGGCCCCATCTGTGGGGAGCCCTTCCCAGCCCTGGGTGCAGGATGTACGAGGGAAATCAACCCTCAGAAGTTTGTCCCCCCACCCCCTTTGTGACACCCCCTACGAATGCTCAGTTTTGAATGCCTTGGACCCTTATCTGCCTTAAAGGACAAAACTAAACTGTGTCCCAGTGCCCATCAGGGGGCAGCAGCCATCCACAGTGTGATGCTGTGTCCCCCTCCGGGAGGACAGCAGCACAGTGAACCCTTTCTACCCCAGCTGTTTCCCACCCAACCCCCACCCCCATTCCTATCTGGGAGGTCACAGGGTTCTTCAATCAGAAATATTTGCTCATCCATCTAGCCTGGACACACGCGGTGTTCTTTATTAAATAGCAGGAGTTGTGGTACCCTGCAACGTGGCTTCCGGGGAAATAAACTGCTGGCTTCTAGCTCATCCATCACCGTGCAGGAGCCTGGGAAGGCAATCAGAGAGCCTGGGCTGCTCGTAGGCAGCCTTTCCCACCCTTCCAGCTCTGCCTACCCCAGCCCCTCCGCCGCAAGCCAAACTTCCTATAATACCAAATGGTTCTTGTTCTTAGCACTGCTCACAACTGCAGTTAATTACTGTGCCGTTGTGACTGTGTGATTAGCTGTTAAATGTCTGCCTGCCTCCAAAGGCACTCAACTTCCTAAACTCAGGGCTGGAGTCCACCTCATTCATCCTTGTATCCTCAGCACCTAGCACAGGGTGGGCATCCAGTCAATATTTCTTCAAAGAGACTGAATGAACTAATGAAAGAGTGAAGATGATTTTGCCCCCTCAGTCCCCCAAAGAGGGAAATTTGGCACAGGAGGAGGCCTGCACGAGGATCTACCTGCACTTCTGGGGAAGCAGTAAGGAGACAAGATGGGAGGCTGAGAGATCGAAGGCTTGGCCCTTTCTGAAGTCAAGGGGCTGAGGTCATTCTTGCTGAAATCAAAGAGGTGTCAGATGGGGCCAGTGTTGTGGTATGGTGGGTAAAGCCACTGCCTACAACGCCAGCATCCCATATGGGCACCAGTTTGTGTCCTGTCTGCTCCTTTTCTGATCCAGCTCCCAGCCAATGGCCTGGGGAAAGCAGCGGAAGGTGGTCAAAGTGTTGAAGTGCCTGCCACCCATGTAGGAGACCTGAGTGAAGTTCTTGGCTCCTGGTTTCATCCTGACCCAATCAGCCAGTGGATGGAAGATCTCTCTGTCTCTCCTTGCTCGCTCGCTCTCTCTCTCTCTCTCTTCAACTCTGACTTTCAAGAAAGTAAAAAAAAAAAAAAAAACTTTTTAAAACTGTTGGAGCCAGTGAACCCTGTGTTGTATTTCTTGTCTCCCCACCCCCACTCTGTTCCTTCTCCGCCCCATTTGGAGCTTTCAAACAGAAAGAGGAGGAGTTGGGGGGCTTGGACTGCTCTGCTGGGAGGTGTGTGCATGAAGCCAAAGACCTTTTGTTGGGGGGAAGTGAGAGAGCAGCTGGCAAGGATCAGAGCGAGGAGGAGATGGCAGAGAGAGCTGAGTGTGAGCAGAGGCAGGTGAGAGGCAGACAGAAGGGGAGGCGAGAAAGAAAGGGAGCAGTTTCTCAGAGCAGTAAGCCACGCTTGCTCAACACAAAGCTGGGGAGACCACTACGGCCACTATGACAGCGGTGAGAAATGCCTGCAATTAGGAGGCTGGCAGTTTCCTGGGTCTCAGCCCAGAGTGACGATGCAGCAAGAATTTCTGAGCTCTGCTAAGCCAGGTGATGGAAGAGCCACGGTCAGAACCACTCCGGCCCCATCCCTCAACTGTGCCTGCACCACTCTCTCTTCTCTGCGCCATTTCTCTCCCCTGCTATGCCTCTCCCTCTCCCCCAAACATTGCCAATTCCTCTCCTTCCTCTGAGGTCCCAGGCCCCTGGTTGCTCCTCTCAGCCAAGACAGATCATCAGCAATGCTTGAATTCTTCCCCTTGTGCCTTGTTCTGGTCTGGGCCAGTCTGGTCTGGCCAAGGGCCACAGCCTGTCTGGGCTCCCTAACCTCCCTTCTTTAAACCCTGCTAGCTGAGGGGCAGAGTTAGATGAAAAGCACTTGGGTTTCTGTTTTTCCACTTTAAGCCTAGTGTGTGTGCCCTGGCAGGTGCTCGTGTACTGAGCAGGACATCTGCCAAAGTGCCGTCAAATTTTCATTTTCAAACCTCATCTACCACCCTGTTTTTGTGCCACTCTGAAGCAACGCACTTTAGCCAGATGATAAATGCACGCTCCAGAGCTCAGAGCCAAATGCTCAGGAGAGGCAGGGGTCAGAGCGCCTGCTGGCTGGATGTGTTCTTGGGCATCTGCACTGTGCGTTCTGCGCTGGGAGCCAGGCTGGAGCTGGGGTTAGGGCTGGGGCAGGCTTTCTCCAGGGAGGATTTGCACCTGCAGGAGATGAGAGTTCTGAGGCAGAAGCCGGTGGTTGTGAACCCAACCTTGAAGACGCCCCATTGGTAGGTAAAGAAGGTAGCTTCCTCCTTGTGAATCCCAAATCGTGGGGACATGGCAGGGGTCCCTTTTGCATGGGCATCATTTAGTACTAACTAGTCCCGAGCCAGCTGTCCACCAGGATCTGAGTCTCAGGCATGTCAGCAATTCTACCTATAGCTCAGTTTCTGTCTCAGCTCTCCCAGCTGCGTTCTGTCCCTTGAAAAGTCACTTCCTAGAGAGTCAGAGTGTCTTCCGGGGTCTCCAGGGCCCAGGCTCCCAGGACCCTCCCTCCTCCTCATCCCAGCCACAGACACAGATGCCTGGACCTTGTAGAAGGTTCCTAAAGTCTGAAGGGGCACCCCCACTCCCCATCCCAAAGGCTTCTCTTATCCAATTCTATTGGTGTCACTGGTGCTGTTGTCCCATTTAAGCTTTTCCAAGAAGGTCAGAATGTTCTCCTCTGAAAATATTTTATTGATAAATTAACTCTGAATGCGTTCACCACCACCACCCCTACCCAACTGCTGTCAAGGCTGCTAGGTGGGCCATGGGGCATAGACCCTTTCCTGGGGAAGGTCCCTGGGAGGACAGGGAGTCTCACTCACACAGGTGTGGGATTCCTTGGCATGGCACAGGTGGGTATGGGCCCTGAGGTGGGTCCCCAGGGCTTCTGGGGACAGCCCCTCTGACTCAGCACCGAAACAGGGAGAGGTGGTCGGGAGTGGAGCACCTTGGGGCTTTATTGCTGGTGAATGCCAAGGACAGCAGGACACCTGCCAGCCTGGAATCGCAGCTGAAGGCGTCCGCACCCAGGGCTCCAGAGAGGGTGGCACTGGTTCCCAATCAACAGAGCCTGGCTGCTGACCTGCCCGCCCATGGGGCCCCCATAGGGAAGGTGACGGGAGAGAGGCATCTGAGCCAGGCAGGACTGGGAGAGAGTTACAGTGTGCAGGTCTCAGGCCGAGCAGGAGCCCAAGAGGGATGCTGGGTGGGGCAGCCAGGGAGGCGGCTGCCCTTCACAGGTCTATGGTGTCACTGCCCATGCTCAGCTCGTCGATCTGTCGGCAGGCGTCCAGGAACTGCTCCCGCAGCAAGGCCTCCTCAGCCTGCAGCTCGGCCGCAGGCTCTGGGGAGTTGCAGGAGGGCGGGGACAGGGCCTGGTAGGATCCTGAGGCGGGGAGGCTGGGGCTGCTTCCTGAGGCCCGCGGAGGGCCGAGGGCGCAGACCAGTGGGCACCTCGGGGGCCTGTCGGGGCAGGAGCACAGCAGCATGGACGAGCTGTCCCGCGAGAGTCCGCACAGGGAGCCAGAGGAGGCGCTGCTGCCCGGGGGCCAAGCCCCTGGGGAGGGGAGCTCCGGGGGTACCGGCGAGCCGGGGTCCTCCTCCAACCTCCCACTGGGCCCAGTCCGGATCTTCGCTCCCAGCGAGGCGGTGCGGTAGAGGCCGAGCCCAGGCAGGGCGTCCCCGAAGGCAGGGCCCTGGAGGAGGCCGGGAGCGAGCAGGGCCTCGCTGCAAAGGGCCTCCTCGATGCTGCGCCGCAGGTTGATTGGGGAGGGCGGGCGGAAGTCCACGGTGGCATCGCTGCAGGGGGAGGAGGCCGGGGATGGGCCCGGGTTGACTGCTGCGCCCTCGAAGCCCCGGCAGCCTGCGCCCTGGATCAGGAGATCTGGGCCCGGTCCTGCCAGCGCGCACAGCTGCAGCAGTTCCGCCTCGCCACGCGCAATGGCACTGCCCAGGGGCTCCTTATCTGGGGGCCCAGGGATCCAACCTCCGGGCAGCAGGGGCGCCGCGTGGCCAGGGGACAGGCGGAAGAGCTTGGCCCAGCAGCGTGGCGGCACTCTGGGGTTGCAGAGCGCCGGGTAGAGGCCCAGCAGCGCCAGCGGGAGCGCAACGCCCACCTCGCCCAGGCGCAGGCCTAGCTGGAAGGCCCACCAGGACCAGGGCCCCTCCAGGCCAGACTGGCCGCCATAGCCCAGGGCGTGCAGCACCTCATAGCCCTGCAGGGCCCCGCTCAGCAGTCCGAAGGTGCCAGCCACTGGGGCGGTGCGTGCCGCGCGCCGCCAGGACTCCCGCGGGGCGAAAGGGCTGCGCGCCTGTGGGAGAGGGGTGGCGCCCTTGAAGCCAGAGCCTCCCAGGGGCGCCCCAGCCCGGCGCCGCCGCCGGCCCCGCCAGCAGGAGAGCGCTAGGAGGAGCCCCGACAGCAACGCGGCGAGGAAGGCGTGCAGCCCGCGAGAGGCGAGGCGCAGGGGCCGAAGAGGGCGGTGCGCAGCGCTCCCCAGGGCTGCGGCGGCTGCCAGGCCCAGCCCAAGGAGCAGCAAGGCGGCCAGGCCGGCCGGGCACCGCGGCGGGCGCGGCCGGGCCAGCAGCAGGCAGGCCAGCCCCAGGCCGGCGGCCAGGCAGGGCAGCGGCAGGTCCTGCAGCAGTAACCAGGCGAGCGCGGGCAGCCGCTCCCGGTGCCCGTAGGCGTCGTAGAAGAGAGGGAAGGCCCGCGTGGTCCCGGCCAAGAGTAGCAGCAGGTCCAGCAGCGCCAGGCAGGGGGCGCCAGGTGGGCAGCGCCAGGGCAGGAGGGCCAGGGCCAGCAATGCCAACAGGACCACCAGGCCGAAGAGCGCACCTACCCCGTACACGTGGGCCTCCCAGGCCAGCCCCCAGCGAGCCCTGGCCTCGGCCCAGTTGGCCTCCAGGGTCAGGAAGAAGAGGGGCAGCGTGGCGGCAGGAGGCTGCCCGTCGCGGTCAGGCAGATCCCCCAGGCTGCAAGGCTCTGGTGCACACTCTGGCTGCAGCGAAGGGCTCCCCGGGCTGCCGGGAGAGGGGTCCTCTGGGCCAGAGGTGGGGGTGCTGGGGTCTGTGGGTTAAAAAAAAAAAAAAACACTTGGCTGAGACAGCTGTGCAGACCCCCTTGCCCTCCCCACAGCCAGGGCCTGGAGCACCAGTCAGAGGGTCTGCCAAGTACCCTGGCCCCTCAGGCCCTCCCTGCGTGATCCACCTGACCCCTGGGGCCTCTCACCTCTCCCTCCCCAGGAGGTTTCAGTTCTCACATGGCCCCTCCCCTACACCTGCTTTCTTTACTCCGTTTCTGTTTCTGCTGAGAAGTCACAGACCTCCCCAACTAACCCCCCCCCACCACCACCACCAGAAAGGCCGCTTTATGAGAACAGGCAGGCCTCTTTGCTTTGTGCACTTCTGAGACTTCTGCCTCTGATGGTTCCTGGCCCACAGTTAGCACTGAGCAGACACTCATAGAGTAAGTGTCCCCACTGTGCCCGAGTCTCTGCAAAGGCAAAGTTGTCCAAGATCCACACTTGTCCAAGGTCACACGCTTATAACTAGAACCCAGACCCGAGCACCAGTCTGATCCCCTTTCCCTACCCCCAGAGCTCTTCCTAATGCTAGTTTGCTTACCTTTGTTCTGCATCCAACCCCCACCTTGGTGCTAAGTGCACCTCTGCCCTTGGTCAGCTGTTCCAGCCACCCCATGTCCCACGCGCGCACACACACACACACACACACACAGCAGGGGGAGCAGCCAAATACTCCTGTCCCAAGCACCCTGAGTACACACTCTGCATACTCACTGGCCTTCCCGCCCGCTACTCCCATCAGCCTATATACAGCTGTGGACCCCATCCTGCCTCCGTCTCACTTTAAGGTTCTGAAGATAGATGCTGCTTTGATTTGACACCCTGTCCCCCTTTCACAGAAGGGGGGACCCCCTGGGGGGCTCCCAGGCTGCCTTTAAAGCCCCAGGGAGAAAGAACTGGGGACACGGTGGTAGGACAAATTGTTGCCACCTAATTAAGTGAGCCCCTCAGGTTCTCTGGGATTTGCTAACTCAGGTCTCCCCATCTGTTAACATCTTCCTATACCCCTTGGTGAAAGAGACAGTATGGACTAAGTTCCCTAATTCTACTCTCCTGGAGCCAGAGAGGTTAGTTAGACCAAGGCTTCTCCCTGGGACCAGACAGCAAGGGAAGGTGCTAAAAGCTGAACCTCTCCCTCCCCTCACCCAGCAGGCTCAGCAAGACTAGGAAGAAAGGGTGATGGCAAAGGAGGATGAGACTAACATGGCATTGAAGGGGAGGTGGACAGGAGACAGCAGCGGGACGAGCAGCGAGGGCCTCCTGACGGTCAGACTCCTGCCCCAACAGCCTGTGCCCCGGCCATGCTCCAGCCACGCCTCGGCTGGACAACACACAAAAAGCCTTGGAGCACTGCCACCCCTACACAGTGCCAGCTCAGGCTGCGGACATGCAAAATGCAATCATTCGGAGAACAAGAGAAAAGGCGTGAGGGGGCCGAAGGGAGGGGAAGGTGATGGGATTGAGCAACTGCAGAGGGCAGAGAGGGAGCAGCCAGAACTTAAGCCTACACAGCTCGCTGCTGACTGTGAACAACACCCTGGGCCCTGTTCCATCGCCTTCCTCAGATCTGACATGGGGACTTGTAGGATAAATGGGAAGCGAGAAGCTCCGCCCAGTGCATGGGAAGCTCCGCCCAGTGTGTGATCATATCCGTGGCTGGTGTTGTTCCTGCAGGCCAGTGTTCACCGCTGACCACTCATCAGTTCCTCTTGTCTGACGGCAACCCCTTCTGACCTCAGATTTGATCTTGAATGAATGAATTAAAGGCTTAGTGCATCCTAACTTGCTTAGAAAGACCACAGTTAGACAAATGCGTGGACAGCGGCACTTCATGTTGATTCATTTTAAGAATTCTGTTTATAGAACACCATTCTGATGGCCTAGCCGGCACTGAAGACCCCCTACCACTGGTTAAATGAGAGGCGGTTCAGCTGGGAGCACATGGCGTCAGAGGATTAATCCACATCCTCCCTCACCCCTCATTCTCTGGCGCCCTTACCCCACCCACTTCTCCGCTTGGTCTCTCTTCTGCCTTTGTGTGCAGAGATGCACGAAGACCCCGCCCTGCCTCCCCCCTACCCCCATCCCTGATCCTTGCTCACCCTCCGCCCTCATCCCTTCTCACCCAGGGGCCCCAGGAAACCCTGTCTCTCAGCTCTGTCCCCAAGCACTAGAGCAAATCTCAACACCCCTAGGAATCCAGAAAAAGGATTAAAAACCAGAAAACAGGCAAAGTATAGGAAGAGCTCATCTGCCAGGGAGTGCGCTCTGAATGACGGGCACTGCGTGGGGACAGCTGTGCGTGGGGACAGGCGGGTGAAAACCCAGCTTACTGCCTTGGAAGGGTACCCTTGGTCTCCCGTCCCATCTCCCCATTGGAGGCTTTTGCAGAAAGTTTATGGCTTCCCCCAGAAGACAGTGATCTTCTGGTCCCCCTTTCCCAGGATGCCTCCCCTGAGCAGGCCTTCCCTCCAGGGAGGTCCCACCCTAGCCTGCGGCCCCCTCTTGACCTCAGGGCCGAGGGAGGAGACGGGATGTCAGCGTGAGTAATTGGCGAGGCTGGAGCTGGCTGGGGAGGGGCAGGGGAGAGGCCAGCTCGATTCATGGAAAAGTCAGGCCTGATTATCCACCAGCTGCCCAGATCAAAGGGCTGGCCTATCAGGGCTCCACTCTGGATGCTGGAAGCTGCAGCAAGTTTGGTGGCCCCGCCCTATCCCTCTCCCCACCCCCACCACCAGGACCATGGAGGACTGGTACTCATTGGAAGGGTGAAATTCAAAGTTTCTAACAAGTGGCACAGGTGGCAGCCACGCAGGACAGAGGCTGGTCATGGTGCTCAGGGAGTGGAGCTAACACTCAGAGGACGAAGGGCAAGTGGGTGTCACCAAGGGCGATGAAAGCCCCTCAATGTTTTATGTCCTGAATGGCAATTGTGGTGAGAAGAGGCTGGATGTAGGCTCTGCCCAATGCAAGGAAGCCCTAGGAGTTGAACACTAACAAGATTAGAAAAGCCCAGAAGGGTACGTGGAACCGAAATACTCTCTTTGGTCTCCAACAGCTTGACAGTACTCCAAACTCTTCTCTCTCTCTCTTTCTCTCCCCCCCCCCCTTCTCTCTTTCTCTCTCTCCTTCTCTCCAGGAAACCCATAGCCCTCTGGGGTTTATCCAAGATGAACAACAGCCAGGAAGAGGCTGGGTTCCTGCAGCCACCAGCTAGGAGGGGGAGCGAGGGCGGAGCTGCCAGCCCTAGCTGTGGGCTGCCTGATACTGTCCAGACTCATTAAACCTGCCTGGCCAGCGCTGTCACCAAGGCCGACAGACCGCCAGCCAGCATCCTCCCCCCCGGAGGCACAGAGCCTGCCCCCATGGCAGCAGCTCCTGCCCTGCTGCACCCTGGGGTAACCAGGGGGACAGAGACTCCACACCCACCTGATGTGTGTGGAGGGGAGGGGTGCAGTGACCCATGCTGGGGTGAGCCAGAAAGTCAGGTGCTGTGTTACGTCTGGAGCTGGAAGAAGCTGGGGGACCAGTTGTTTCCACAGCTGGGCCTCGTGGAGAGGGGGCTGAGAGGTTTGCAGCCCCAGTAAACCCTTTGCAGACCAGAGCTGCACATGGGAGTCCCTCCCCATGGCTCCCTTGGCCTCATCTACCAGAACCTCTCCCTGGGCACCCGTGGCCTCTGCCAGGCAAGTTTTGTGTCATCCCAGTGCCCAGGGCTGGGGCGAGGTGTCTGCAAAGGTAGGGTCTAGAAGTATATTTGGAGCACAGTGCAGGAGAGAAGCAAGGACATCGAGTACTTAATGAGCTTCTACTTTGTGCCCAGCTTCATGTCAAGAGCTCGCATTATCTGGAAGCTTTACATGAACTCAATAAAATGAGTAATATTATTAAACCCTGGTGTGACAAGAGAATTTCGGCTCAGAGAGGTAACGTAACCTACCCCAGGGCACCCAGCTGGTACATAAGTGACTTGGCTCTCAAAGCCCATGTCCTTTCCCTCTGCACCAGCGGTTCGTCTGTGTGCATGTTCTGAGCGGCCCCCTTGAATGAAGGTGGCATCTGTCTGCTCCAGGTTCTGCTTCCATGTCTTGTAGATGAGGGCCCCAGCTCTGCCCACATCTGACAGCATGTCAGCTTAGATCAGACAGCACAGGAGAGGGCTCCCAGGCCGCGGGAGGGGAGAAGGGCCAGGCCGCTGGGAGTTGGGGGTGGGGTTATCACGGAGACTGGAAATCATGAAGGAGTTCCTGTGTCTGTTTGCCCTGATCCATCTGTCTCCATCCTGCTCTGCCTGTGACTGCGAAACTCTCCAAGGCCCTCTGCTTAACCCTGTGTGGGACCTTACCCAGCAACACTTGTTCTCAGGCCAATGACATATGTCTCCATAGGGATGATGAAGAGTATGGTGGCTATGGTTACGGAAGGAACCGTAAGAGTCCCAGAACACTGACGAGGGACTAGCATGGAGTAAGTGCTCAATAAATCATTGTCAGACTCAAATGGATTGGATACCTACCTGGTGATGTTGCTCCTACCGAGGCAGAGCTTAGGGAAACAGCTGGGTCCAGCAGGCTTGGGCTTGAGAGCTCTCTCTGCAAAGGGGATGGGGGCGGGGACAGAGTGGCGCCAAAGAACCCTGCAGAGAGAGCACACGGGGTCAGGTGCCATCCTACCAGCCAGGCTTGGCCTCTGGGGTTTTGGAGAAAATCCTGCTCTTCCCTGTAGAAGTCACTGTCCCTGGAATTGTCCTCACATGCTCAGGTCCACTATGAGCTAAGCTACAAGTGTGGAACCAGACTCAGTACAGCAGAGAGAATGCTTCCATGTGGACCAGCAGCTCCTGTCCCAGGGCCTGGGAGAGGCAACGCAGGCCTCCCCTGAGCCAAGACAGAAAGGGAGGTGCTGGTTCGGTCCCCAGCACAGCGCCTAGCATGGAGAGATCTTCTACAAACGCTTGCTGCAATGAAATAAACACTCACCTGGAGAGCTGGAGGCAGAGCTGGGGGCTGTTGTGGCACCTGGGGGGCTGGAGCCTGAGAAATTCCGGAGCGGAGACAGAGTGGTGCCAAAGAACCCTGCAAAAGGAGCCCATGCCCAAGCTGCAACCTAGCAGCCAGCGGCGCCCAGCAGGGGCTCTCCTAGGAGGGGCAGGTACTCACCAAAGGGTCCCAGGCGCCCAGCAATCTCCGCCAGGCTGGCCCGCAGGCTGGGCAGCAGGGGCAGCGTCCGGTGCCCCAGCGTGGGGGCTGCACCTGCTCTCAGCGCCACATCAAACTTCAGCTCCAGCTCGCTCTGCTGGGGCCTGGGGGCACTGGATGGAGGCGCTGCAGCCGTCAGAGCAGTGTCCCAGGTCACAGTACCCGTCCTGGGCTGATAGGGAGTGGTGGGCCGGTCGGTGGGCCCAGAGACGCGGGACGTGGACTCCGGAGGTAGGGACGAGGCCCAGGGTGTAGCACTGCCTTCGGCAGAGCCCCACTCTGGAGGGGAGTTCCCTGGGGAGCCCACGAGCAGGTCCCAACGAGGATCGGTCCTCAGCCCACTGGCTACCTCTTCCCCTGGCTCCCGGCCTGGCCCAGGAGAGAGAGGCTGGGTCTCTGTGACAGGGCTCCCCCAGACAGCAGCAGGGCCCCGAAGATGGAATTTGAAGTTAAGTCCCAGGTTGAGAGACAGCACAGAGGCCTCACTCTGCGGTGGCGGGGTCAGAGTGGTGAGAGGGGCCACGGGGACAGAGGAGGCAGGCTGGGGGCCCACAGGGACAGCAAGCAGGACCCAGTAGAACAGCCCCAGCCCCAGACAGCCACGCCTTGCCATGGCCCCACCTGGCCTAGGGTGGCCTGGGTGGGCAGGGGGCTTGGTTCTTCAGCACCTCTTGGGCACCCAGGTCCTGGAGGAAGGAGAGGCCCTGTGAGCTCAGGCTGTTGCCACTCACCCTCTTGGGGGTCCCAGGATCAGACACCCCAGACAGCGCTTCTGTTGGCAGAGAAGCAGGTGCTGAGAGCAGGATGCAAAGTGCTGTGCCCCAGGGGAGAGACAGAGGGCTCTTCCTGACAGCTCCTTCCTGTACTTTCAGGCTCCTGCCCAATCCTGGCCCCACCTGCTCACCAGGAGGCTAGGCTCTGCCCGCAACCAGGGTCCCCCACCTTTCATGGGGAGCAGAGAGGATGGACTTGGGCTCCCAGACTCAGGCACCTTCCTCCCCACTCCCCACCCCCTCTTCTGCCCAGCCTTCCCTCCTCCCTACTGTGTGCCAACAAGCACCCTAAGGAAACACAGCTGCAAGCCAGCAAACAACCCTCCTGCCGGAGTCTCCCGCTCTAACAGGCCTGAGTGATATGGCAAAGCCAGAGAGGCCTCCCAGGCCCTGCCCAGAGAAACTGGGCCCCTCCACCAGCAGAAGCTCCCTCCCCCTCTTTCCCCAGGACCCTAGAAGTATTGGGGGGAGGGGCAGCTTGGTGATTTCTGGCTCCCTGGGGAGGAAGGGCAGGCTGATCAGACTTGGGGTGGCTGCAGCAGCCTCCCACTGCTCCCCAGGACTTGCCCTTCATGGGCACATCTGGTGGGGATGGGAGGCTGGGCCGGGGCACACGTGCACCCGGTACCCTTTCATCACACACGCACGCAGCCACACCTAGCGCCCGCCGCACACTCACCCTTCACACACCCCTGCACACATAGTCCGCCCTGCTGAGCGCCCTCCCTCCCCCATGGGTCCCGACCCCACGAGCTCTATGAGCTGCCACCTCCTCGGTCTTTCTTGCCATGCAGACAGACACACACACACACACACCCCTACACACATGCACACACTCTGTGTAGACGCACAGCACACACACACCCCTCGCGGGCACATACGCACACACACCCCCCGGCCGGCTCCTCTCGCACGCTGGGCTCCTCGGCCAAGTCCCTCGAGGAGGGGCGGTCGCGGCGGCCCAGGCACCCACCTGGGCAACGCCACGCGCAGTCTCGCCGGTTCTCCCCGCTGCACCCAGCGCCCGCACTGGCGATGGAGCCCTGCGCTCCCGACGCCCGCTCGCCTCGTCCAGCCACTGCCGCCCCTGCCCGCCCCCGGCCCGGTCCGCGGCCCGCAGCGCTCACACCAGGCGGGCGGCCGGCCCCGCGCTCCGCGCTCCGCGCTCCCTCCCCGCGGCGGCGCCGCCTCCTGGCTCCGAGCCTGGCTCCCCGGCGAAGCAGCCCGCGCCGGGCTCCGCGGCAGCCGCGCTCTCGCGGCCCTCCCTCCGCTCCCTCGCTCCCTCGCCCGCTCGCTCCCGCGCCCTCCCTCCTCCCACCCAGCCCGTCGCCGCCCGCGGGCCGCCCCACACCCGGGGACGGCGGCCGCACGCGCGCTCAGTCACCCGGCGCTGTCGCGGGCGCCTGGGGCTCAGCTGGCGCGCCTTCCCCGGGGGAACACACCCGCGCCAGAGCACCGCGCGCGCACACGCGTGTACAAACACACCCCTTCCCGGGGAAACACACCCTCGCCAGAGCACCGCGCTCACGTACCTTTGTGCACACACACACATGCCTTCCTTAGGATACAAGTTGACTCCAAGAGCATCATGTGCCCACACATATGTACGGGCACATACACAACCTGTGCCAGCATGGCTCCCAGGGCAATAAGGGACTTCCGTTCAAGATCTTATCACAATAGGCTCTTCTCCATCCCTTATCACGTTAGTCCTCACCACAACCCTGTGTGTGTCTCCATTTTACAGATGGGTAAGTTAAGACTCAGAAAATGTGCGTAAGACAGCACAGCTTGGTCGAGCGTTGGGTCCAGGCTCTCTGCTTGCCCTCTCCACCAGCTGTCAGTTTTCAACAGCTGCACAGCAAACACCCCCGTGCCTCCAGTGCCTGGCAGGTGAACTGCCAGATGCCAGCCCCTGTTGTAACATTACTTTTTTCCTAAAATGATCTCTCGGAAGCACTTAGAGTTGCAGAGCTGTCTGTCAGAAAGAGTGGGGAGCTAAGCTGCTGGGGGGGGGGGGGCGGGGGATGGCAACTTCTGTGCCGCGAGAGAGGAGGGAAAGGCAAAACCAGAGACTGCACTGTGTGGCCAGGACTGGGGGGCCCCCGCTAAGGGATCGGGGGTCACTGTGGCTACTTCTTGGGCTCTGCCCCATGGTAGCAGTGAATGCCTTATGTGGCATTTCTCATTCATGCTGCTTTGAGTTCCAAATTCCTACACGGTTTCTTCCAAAAAGCTAGTGTTTAAAGTATCAGGCCCGGCGCTCTGCATGTAGTTGGTAAAGTTGCAGTGCCAACATCCCATATTGGCATCGGTTCGAGTCCCAGCTGCTCCATTTCCGATCCAGCTCTCTGCTATGGCCTGGGAAAGCAGAAGATGCCCCAAGTCCTTGGGCCCCTGCACCAACGTGGGAGACCCGGAAGAAGCTCCTGGCTCCTGGCTTCAGCTCCGGCTCGCGGCCATCTGGGGAATGAACCAGAGGATGGAAGACCTCTCTCTCTGCCTCTGCCTCTTTGTAATTCTGCCTTTCAAATAAATAAATAAATACATATTTTAAAAGTATCAGTAGAACATACAGCATAAAATGGAGGCTCCCTACATCATTTAAAGCTTCTTCTGGAAACCCAGACAGCTGCCCTACTGTGTGCGACCCCCATGATGGGTGCTGTATCAGTCTTCTTACTTAGTCCTCCTACAAGCCACAGAAAGAGGGAAATTGTCATCACCAAGTTGCGGCCCTGGATGTGACCCAGCTATCCCCTCCCTCCTGCCCTGGAAGGAGGGGGCGCTGCTCAAGTACCTGGGGCAGGTTCTGTCTCAGTTACCCAGTGCTAGCAGACTTTGCCCATGGCGCATGCTCAGGGACCACTTGATAAAATGAACAAGGAGGAGTAGTTCTGAGGCCCGCGCACGAGCAATGGGTGGCCTTTCAGAAAGGCATCCGGGCCTCACTCCCAGGTCCCAGAATCCCAACCCCCAGTTAGTAAGATCACATCTGTCCCCCAACGGAGCCCCTCTCTGTGTCATCAACAGGATTTACTCTGGGTCCCTAAACAAAACCCTGCAAAGGGTAACCCCTGGGTGCACCCTGAGGGGTTGCTAAAGGATTCACCCCCACACCCCACCTGCTGGGGGCTGCCTGGGGACTGCATGCTGGGAGTCGATCTCTGGTTTTCTCTCATATACTTAATAAAAGCTATCCTACTGGGGACATTTTCTTTGAATCTTCCTCATCGAAAGGCTCATTTCCTGCTAATCATGTTCACTTAAAGACTTCTAGATGGGAATACAGAAATAAACAGATCCCAGTACATTAAAATAGCAATCCTGCATGACCAAGTGGCGTTATTCCCAGGAATTATATTTTCAAAAATATATTGAAAAGGGAAGCTGGGGTTATGAGTCAAGATGGTGATTGAATGCCTACATCTAATTTCACTCTCACCCAAAATGCCACTAAAGCGTCAGTAAAAAGATTTTAAAATGAAGAGACAAACCTGCAAGGGTAGAGAGACAAGGAAAAGGGACAATAGCGACAGAATTTTTGAGACAGGGTGGCAGGCAGTCATGCGGTTACTAAGTTATGAGCCCCTAGGTAAAAGGCATCTCAAATTAGCAGTGGGGAAAACCGAAAGCCAGCTTCATGTACACTGCGGGGTTCTCAGGAGGCATAGACATTGGCTGTCCAAGGCACACCTGGAGCCGTGGGACTGTCCTTACCAGTGAACTGAGGACCAAGACGAAACGCAGGTGCATCCCTGGATTTCTTCCCTCATCCTTCCCGTGTGCCAGCCAGGATCTAAAGGATCTTTCCCTGAAAAAGGTTCCATAGTAGGCATCTGGTTTGGGGAAGCTGCAGGCACCGTTGTAAACAGAGATACCACGCAGACAACAAGAGGATTAAAGGGCGTGTCACAGAGAATGCTGAATGCAGAGATCCGAGCTTCTCCCAAGCCCGGGCTTTCAAAGTGGTGAGAGCAGGACCATTGCTCTCCAGGCTGGAGACTGGAAGATTCCACCCTGGGGCATTCACCAGCCCACGAGGAAAGATCTAGATACTGGTAGAGGGGAGCCTCTTAAAACATCTCAGCTCCATCACCCCACAGTGGCAAACCTAACCCAGGAGCTCAGAGCTTCTGACCACCTCTTACCCCTCAACCTTACTCAAAAAGGTTTCTAACACAGAAGAAAGACACAAAACAATCAAAAAAGTAACTCGCCGGAAACAGGCTAGGCAGAGGGAAGGCACTACCAAGACCATGGTGATGTTCTCAGAGACGTGAGAAGATATAGCATCTGTGAGCCAACAAGAAGTCAGAGAAAGCAGATCGTGAGACCAGCGGCGGCAGCCGCAGCCGCAGCCATCATGTCCTGGGAAATGGAAGCGTGACAGCAGAAACAAAAGTAGCAGGAAGATTAGAAGACGAAGTTGATTGAGTCTCCGGAGAAAGTAAAGCAACACACTACGGGAAAATACAGGAGACATAATCGCATTAGGGGATGATTCCAGGAGTTCAACGTCAAAATAACAGAAAGAAAGAAAACACACACACACACACACACACACAGAGAGAGAGAGAGAGAGAGAGAGAGATGAATACGGAAAGGAGGAAATAATTCATTAACTAATCCAAGGACATCTTCCAGAACAGAAGAAAGTTGCCAGATCACAAGGTGGGCCTACCAAACCCCAGAGCTGTAGATGACAATACAGCCTCATGGGCAACTTAAAGAGGAGAGTCTAGAAGCTTCCAAAAAGTTTTTTTTTTTTTTTTTTAAGAATTATTTTAGGCCGGCGCCGCGGCTCACTAGGCTAATCCTCTGCCTTGCGGCGCCGGCACACAGGGTTCTAGTCCCGGTCGCGTGCGGGATTCTGTCCCGGTTGCCCCTCTTCCAGCCCAGCTCTCTGCTGTGGCCAGGGAGTGCAGTGGATGATGGCCCAAGTCCTTGGGCCCTGCACCCACATGGGAGACCAGGAGAAGTACCTGGCTCCTGCCATCAGATCAGCGCGGTGCGCTGGCCGCGGTGCGCTGGCTGCAGCGTGCCGGCCGCAGCGGCCATTGAAGGGTGAACGAACGGCAAAAGGAAGACCTTTCTGTCTCTCTCTCTCTCTCACTGTCCACTCTGCCTGTCCAAAAAAAAAAAAAAAAAAGAATTATTTTATTTATTTGAAAGAGTTACAGAGAGAGGTAGAGCCAGAGAGAGAGAGAGAGGTCTTCCATCCACTGGTTCACTCTCCAATTGGCCACAATGGCTAGAGCTGCGCCAATCTGAAGCCAGGAACTTCTTCCGGGTCTCCCACATGGGTGCAGGGGCCCAAGGACTTGGGTCATCTTCCACTGCTTTCCCAGGCCATAGCAGAGAGCTGGATTGGAAATGGAGCAGCTGGAACTCGAACCGGCATCCATATGGGATGCTGGCACTGCAGCTGGAGGTTTTACCTACTACGCCACAGCGCCAGCCCCTCCAGAAAGTTTTTTAAAGTATTGAAGTTTATATATCCAGGACTGGTGCTGTGGCAAATGGGTTAACACCCTGGCCTGAAGTGCCGGCATCCCATATGGGCGCCGGTTCTAGTCCCAGCTGCTCCTCTTGCCATCAGCTCTCTGCTATGGCCTGGGAAAGCAGTAGAAGATGGCCCAAGTCCTTGGGCCCCTGCACCCACGTGGGAGACCCAGAAGAAGCTCCTGGCTCCTGGCTTCGGATCGATGCAGTTCTGGCCATTGCGGCCATTTAGGGAGTGAACCAGCAGATGGAAGACCTCTCTATCTCTACCTCTCTCTGTAACTCTGCATTTCAAATACATAAAATAAATCTTTAAAAAAGAAAAAAGAAGAAGTTTATATATTCCCAGCAATAACTTTCTATATACAAGGTGAGGGTGAGAATCCTGTGCAATATTGGCAATGTGCGGGGGCAGGCATGCGATGCACTGGTTGAGTTGCCACCTGGGACGTCTCCGTCCCATATAAGCGTGCCTGGTTTCAGCTCCGGCTCCTCTCTCTCCAATCCAACTTCCTGCTAATGTGCACCCTGGCAGGCAGCAGGTGATGGCTCCAGTTCTTGAGTTCCTGCCACCCATGTGGATAGAGTCCTGAGCTCCTGGCTTCCCCGTGGCCCAGCCCCAGTTGTTGCAGGCATTTGGGGAGTGAACCAG